TTTTCTATGGATGTGTGTTATATTTCAGGATGAACATTTTTTTAAAAAACTCACACAAGTCTTGTTTGCACAAAATTAACTGCTTTAACATCTTATAGTACTATGTATTCTGGCCCCAATTTCTTTGCTGGAATAACTGCCTGTAAGATGTGCCATGAATGAATTTCACGTGGTTGTGCTCACTGTAACCTTAGCTTGGAATCCTCCCTTTATTTTTTTTAATAAAAAGTTTTTGTGAAAACAACTAATCAATCAGTGTTTATATTTACACATGTTTTGCATAAAATATAGTTTTTGCTTTTAAAAATTCAATTATTACTTAAAATACCATTTAAAGAAGTAGCAGAGAAAGATTATCTTCTCTATTGTAGCGTTCCTTTAATGGCTCATAAAAAAATGTCATTTTAAGTTGTATTTCATTATTGAAACACAGTCTAGTAAATAACCACACTGAAACAGAATCTAGCTATCATAACAGAATCTATCTACCATAATGTGAGACATATTAAAAACATCTGTGCCTTCAGTTTTAAGTTTATGGTAAACTTCCCACATTGTGCAACTTGTTCCAATACTTGTGTCTTGGGGTCTTTAGCAGTGTTTTAGATGCATTTTCTCAAGGTATTCACTGTCAAAGGAATGCAGTCGTTTTTTTCCATTTGTGTTCCATGTATAATTTCAGATATTTTCATCTTGGCAAGAAGAAAATTGTTTTCCCAAACGTATGTTGCTTTTTGACTTTCATTGTTAAGAAAGCTCAGAAGAGGTTTTTTAGCATTTATAATATATGAATTTTCTTTAAAATATTGGCTTAAATAGTACATTACTAAGTATGCTGGAGATATTGTGGAGTTTTGCCTTCATGTTTGGATACCTAGTTTTTAAATGGCTAACTAATTGTAATCAATTCAGAATATCATCATTGATTAATCCTGATATGCACTTAGGGTAAAATCAGTAAAAGTAGGTGTAAATTCATATTTAAAACAATGTTCTTTCTAATTTCAGTGATTATGGCCACCTTGTCAGATCTGATTAGTCATTAGTTTTTACTTTGCAATGCAGCTTCCGAAGGGCTTCAGGAATGTCAGCTCAGTGAATTGTGTTTGCCTATTCTTGCACTATGAACACTACCTCCATTGGTCCATGCAGTAACAATTAGTTTACTTAAATACAATAAATAGGGCGCCTGAGTGGCTCAGTCTTTAAGCATCTGCCTTCAGCTCAGTTCATGATCCCAGAGTCCTGGGATCAAGCCCTGCATCAGGCTCCCTGCTCAGCAGGAAGCCTGCTTCTCCCTCTCGAATTCCCCCTGCTCGTATTCCCTCTCTCACTGTCTCTGTCAAATAAATAAAATCTTTAAAAATAAATAAATATCATAAATAAATTCACTTAGATACAGAAATTGCACCATGTGGCAATGTGTTGAAAACAAACAAGGGAGACGGCCCTCCCCTCCCCTGTTATGTGCTGCTGTGCTTTCCCCTTCTCCCGAGAGCACTCCAGGTGCTTGCCCACTTATGGATCGGGTGTGGATGCTGGTGTTAGTCCTCACATTCAATATGAGTAAAGCTTAATTTCTTCCCCTCTTTTTTGGTAAAAAAATATATGTGTTTATACATAGAAGTTCAAATGCTTACTCTAAAATGTCATCTTCTGAACCCCGCTTTGGAGACCCTTGCTCTAGATAAGTGTTTTAGAATTTTGGGTTTTTCAAATGTTAGAAATACCCTCTTTTTACTGAAAATGAAACTAACGTATTTTTTAAAATTAGGTAACAATAACAATGGTCTGATTGACTTTGAGATGGGAGAAGGTGGTGCTCAGCCCTCTCTAGATATCCATCTTTCTCCCCAACCTCCTCAAGTGGAAAACTAGTTTCCATGAAACACAGTTGGGAAAATCTTATGCTTCCTCTCTAGTCATTAAGGAATCAAGATATTTTTCAAAGGCTGGTATGTTAATATTCATGATCTGGAGATCAGTAATAACTTATTGGGTTACCTCATACATACCTGACACACATATGTGGCTACATTTTATCTGGGGATGAGAACATCTGTTAGAATGAATATAAAATAGTGGCATTTCAGCTGTGAAAATAGGAAAACATATTGTTTGGACTACAGGTGCTTGCTTTTGTGTTCCCCAGTGACCTTGAGATTGGAGAACATAATGATAATCGAATTTGTTACATCCTGGTAGAAGTAAATATTTTATTAAATGCTACTGAGGGAAACTACAGATATATAAACCAAATAAACATTGTAAATAAAAGGAAAATAAGTATAAAAAAGTAGTATTAAGATAATTTTGAAAATAATCTTTAAGATATCAGGAAATGGACCATCTGTGATCTTGTATTAGCCAAGATAAGTAACACTAGCTACCGTAATAATTGACCACAAAATGTCCTGCTTAACTCAATAAGGATCCATCTTCTCGCTCATGTCTCAAGTCAGTGTATGCTGTGAGGCAGCTCTGCTATAACCAGTCGTTCAGGAATCCAGCCTTCCTCCATGCTGCAGACCAACAATTTCAAAAACATGGCTTCCACATCAACCTGGCTTCCTCCAGTTAGCAGAAAGAGGGATAAAAGAGAGTGGAGCAGGCATACTTTTCTTAACTGTTCAACGGGGATTATATTCTACTGCCAAAAATGAATTGTCTGGCCCTATTTACATGTAAAAACTATGGAAATGTAGTTTAGCTATGTAGTTTAGTTTACCTGGAAGAGAAGATGGGTTTGGTGAGCATCTAGCTGAGTTCTATTGTATATACAGATGAATTTCTAATCTATAATTATCATCAGGTCTGACTTTGGAAATCTCTCGGGAAATCAGTCTCTTTTTTTGCTTGTTGTAATAAAGGCATATGCACCCCAGCATGAATTTCAACTCTTGATATTTTCTGAACAAGACATGATCTTCCATGTCTCTACACCTTTACATGTGATTTGCATATGATGTCTGTCCATTCTTTCTAAAACTCTTTGCCTTTCCTCCTCCCTCCTCTTCTTCCACATCTAGCAATTCCTCCTCATCCTTTAAGATGCAAGACAATGTTTACTTCCTCTATGAACCTCTCTCTGATGACACACAGGCACAGATCTCTTCCTAATGTTCACTGAACTTTATCCTTGTACTTTGTACCTACCTCTATTACTGCATGTGTGAGCCTGTATTATAATTATTTAAAGGAACCTGTATGTTTTCAAAGAATTGGGTGATTAATATTTATAATATAGTGACCTTTAATTATAGAACTTAGTTTCTCAAGGTTAACACTTGTGTCTTATGTATCTTAGTATCTCCCAGGCCTGCCTAACATACTCAGTAACAGAGGAGAAAAATGAATGTTCTCTTCCTGCCAGTTTCCAATCCCCCCCCTTTTCATATTGTGGCAAAAACATATAAAATGTATCATCTTCACCATATTTAAGTGTGCATTACAGTAGTGTTAACTATATGTGTCTTGTTTGCAATAGATCTCTAGAACTTCTTCATCTTGCAAAACTGAAACTCTGCTCGTTGAACAACTCTCCATTTCCTCCTACCCCCAGTCCCTGGTAAACACAGTTCTTTCTGTTTCTAAGAATTTGACTAGCTTAGATACCTGATGTAAGTGGAATAATGCAGTATTTGTCTTTTTGTGACTGACATTTCACTTAGCCTCAAGATAATTTCACATAACCCTCAAGATTCATTCATGTTGTAACAGATGACAGGATTTCCTTCTTTTTCAAGTCCAAATGTTTCATTGTAGGTACATACCACATTTTCTTTATCCATTCATTGTTAGTGTCTGTCTTTTTGACCTGTGCTTGATTACTAGAGGGGGAAAATATATTTTCTATTGACCAAGAGAAAAGGTGATCCTAAACTCTTAAATATTTCAGGATGGTTTATGTTCTAGAGACTAAAGGAGAAATTTTACTTAGTGCAAGGGAAACTAGATTTAAAAAAAAAATCAGTGACTACAGAATGAATGCCTCTTGTCATAACCTATGAGCATGAGAAACTATATTATACTGCTTCCAACTGAGCAGCAAGGGCCCATAATAAAAAGCTGTTCACATTCCAAAGGCCTCTTACCCTAGTCTTGTCACTGCCCTACTCAGCACCTCAGTACCTCTTCAGTACCTCATGCCCTCAAAATAGCTCTTTTGAGAAAAGAAATTTTAAAGTAGGGCAAAATAAATAAGGGAAAGGATAAATAAGGACTCTTAAAACACAGAGCACTTGTGAGGATTTTTATGTTTATGGAGAAGCTGAGTCCTACAGTAACCTCTGGCCCTTCTTCTTGGTGTTAGTGGATTCCAGTGTTCATTTGCATTAAGGTAGTTCGAGGCCGTTTAGAGACCTTCATAACCTTTACATTAGTGCATTATCATGAAAGAATCTGAAGTATCCTTGCATTAGCATGATCGTTATTATTTCACTTGGTCTAAGAAGCTACTATTAAATGTGTAGCCATTATGTGTACTGAAAGATCTCCAAGTAAACGAGCATTTAGCTTGTAAACACCTCACACGTAACTTCTTTTTTAAACTATCACAATAAGAACCCCAGCACTTAAAACAAAAAAAAAAAAAAAAACCTTGCAGTTTTTGGTAAAATATGCCAAATATAGCTTGAAATAGTAAATAATCCCTCAAAAGCGATATTAGCAAATTAATTGGTGTGTGAACAAAGATCCCTTTCTGCACCAGCATGAATGTTGCCTTTATTTTTTCCTCACAAGTATGATTTTAGAAAACAGCTGTAGTGCATGTTGACAAATGACAAAGCGGCAGACATGGTAAAACACTTTCCATCAAAGCCAAGAGGGGAAAAAAAAATTGGGCTGCCAGAGCGGCCAACGGGTTTGAATGCCTAGCTTCCCTAACCTCTTTTTTCCCTAGTCTTTAGGGAGCGGAGGCCTCACCGCCCCACCCCCCTTTCCCTGGCTCTGGTTACAGCCTTTCGAGTTGAACAAACTTGCTGCAGGCGGATTGGCGATCAGGAGCTCTCAGGCTTGGACGTTGTATTTATTAATTTATATTCCGCGGGGCCCTGTGCGGGCTGGCCCTTTGTATCCCGCCTCCGCTGCCTGGGCTTGGGGGCCCCGGCGGGAGCGCGCCCCCGCGTCCGCCCTACCCTCAAGGCCAGCACGTGCTACGCCCGCCAGCCTGGCCGGCCGAGGGGGCGGAGGCCCCGGCTTTTTTCCTAAGCCACTGTCGGCCAGAAGGAGGAGCAGCAGCAGCAGAAGGCGACAGCTGCCCTGCCCAGAGAGCGCGGCGGAGAGGGGGCTGCAGCGCCCGGGCTCCTGGCCACTCTTAGCAGCGGCGGCGGCGGCGGCCGGGAGGCGGGGAGCGGCGGGCCGCTCGGGATGTTCCCGGGCACTTCCTGACTGGTTGGCAGCGCGCACACGGCCCGACTCGCACGTCCCCGGCCCCCTTGTCGCTCGCTCGCTCGCGCGGGCCCGCTCTGCGTCGGCCGCGCCGCGGTGGAGGCGCGCGAGGGGGACGCGGCCGGGGATGAGCTGATTGCGGGTAAATACGCCGTCGCCTGGCCCCGAGAGGCCGCGAGGAGCAGCTTTTCTCCGAGTCTCCGCCCTGCCCTTGGATTTGAGATCATGTACGTACGCGTCGCGGTCCTGCCATTGTCTCTACCCCAACGCGTGTCGTGCGCCCCAGCGCGAGGGGCTCTTGCTCATCCTCGCCGCGCGCTGCCCCCCGCCCTTCCTGTTCGGATTAAAGTGATCCTCGCGCTGACCACGCGCCTCTCTCCCCCTCGCCCCTCTCTGTCGTGTAGGTCCATTCACATCGTGGCGCTGGGGAACGAGGGGGACACGTTTCACCAGGACAATCGGCCGTCGGGGCTCATCCGCACTTACCTGGGGAGAAGCCCGCTGGTCTCGGGGGACGAAAGCAGCTTGTTGCTGAACGCGACCAGCACGGTCGCACGTCCGGTGTTCACCGAGTATCAGGCCAGCGCTTTTGGCAATGTCAAGCTGGTGGTCCACGACTGTCCCGTCTGGGTAAGGGATGGCAGCTGCTCGGTGTCGAGGCTGACGGAGATTTTCTTTCATTTCCCCCCCCCTTCCTCTCCCTTTCCCCCCTTTTATGCTGTGGACCGTCTGGGTCACCTGCGTAGAGTTTTTAAACATTTGGGGGGAAATCTTTATTTTCCTTTGTTTCATTAGGCAGGGGGCAGCCCAGTCAGAGAACACTCTTAGAAGGCAAAAAGTCCCAGTGGCAACATGGAGCACTTACTCATGGGCTTCAGGACTGTAGGTTGTCCCTTGGTAGCTGGCAGTTGAATGTGACAACCCCAAGGGACGGGGTCACTAAGTTTCACCAAGAGAGAGCAATGTTTTTTCATGCCTACCCTGTGGGTGAGAGTGTAATATTAGTGTTCTAAAAATAAAGTCCTCTGAAAGCTCAACACAAGCAAAAATAAATTTCACTGGGACAGTTCAGGAATAGGACCCCTGGAAAGGAGAGAAAGAGAGAGCGACTGAGAATTAATTTTAAACCACTCGTTTATAATACTATCCACTTTTGAAAATTTTAATTCTTGTTTTTAATTTTAATAATGCAGATACTCTTAATATAGTAGCTATTTGTTTTCAGTGACTAATAAATCAGAAATAATGATACTGCTTGGAATTTTTAAAAAGCTTTAAAATTTGTAATAATTAAAAGAAATTGTAATGAAGTTGATAAAATTCTAGTCTGATTCTTGAGTGCTTGATAAAAGGAGAAAGAAATCTACTCTCTGACACATACATATTTTCAGTACATTATAATATAATAATTATAATGTAATACACAAGAACAGTAGTTATTTTAATGTTTTCATTTAATTTTATTTGAAAATTTCTGATTCTATACTGGTATTGGAGTTAAAATAGTATAACTAAAGCTGAAGATTATATTTTATAACAGATGAAAGCTTTAGTGTCTGAAAAAGATTACAAATTATCATGTGAGATTTTATGTTTAAACATCAATTGTAAAAACCTGAATTGTGTGCTATAGGGAACTAATACATCTTTCTAAAGGAATGTATGGAATGTGCCTAGAAAAATTACTTATGCAAATTACAAGATGAAAAGATCACTAGCTCAAGGAAATTTTCAGTTAAAGGATATTTATGTTAATGGGCTAAAATAAATAAAACAGGTTTTTTTTCAATAACCAGGTTTAAACTCCTATTTATCACAGTGACGATGCCAATCACAAGAAGCATCGGTAAGGAACTTACTGGCTGGAGTCCATGCAAACAAGTGAAACACTTCTTTTACTTTGATCATTTCATTGTGAAAGATGGTACAATTTAAAAACTTACCGGTTTTACACGCAGTTGAACAAACGTGGAGTGAATAGAGTAAATAAATTTAAGGAAAATAAAATAAGCTGAATTAGGATGTTAGGATTACTTTTCCTGTTTTTTCTTCAAGCTGTTAACTCTTTACTGTTCATGTTGTTAATTTAGCAAAAAACAATACTTATGATGCCAGGTACTGTAGTAAATGAAATTTTCCAAAGGATTAAAATAAGCCTCTGTAGTCTAGATTTTTGCCATATACTGATTATTGTGCTTTATTGTACTAACCACATTTTGTTTGTTTAGATTCTGGTCCTGTTTAAAGCACTGAGTTTTGGTACACTTTTTTGGGTTATAATGATCTTCAAATCTAAGGGAATACATTTGTAAACCTTCTCTTTATAAGATGCTTTTCTTTTCTTGGTGGTAAGTAAAAGTCCTTCAGAGATACTCAGGTTGGTTGTGTTTATCAGCTAATACTTGACGTGTACCAGAACAGAATATTCAGTATAGCAAAGCAGATAGAGCACAGGTTTTGATAGCAAAAGGACCTGATTTCAGATCCCCACATTGCTGCTTAGTGGTTTTTTCTGGTGAGTCACTATCTTCTCTTAGCCTTGTTTTTCCCTATGTATAAAATAAGACTCTGCCTCCTAAAGACTCCCTGGCTCCTAGAGCTGTGCTGAAGAGTAGATGAGATGATACATGTAAAGTTCTTAAGATAGAAACTGACATGCTCTAGTAGGTAGTCCAGGTGGTAGCTACTCTAGTAATACAATGTTTATTGCAACATCAGTCTAACCATGTATCCCTTATACTAAGCAAAGTAAAGTGTTCCTAATCATTCAAGATTTACACAAATACAATACATTGAGGTAGCAGTGCTGGTACTTAGTAGGTGCTGTATTTGCAGTGCCAGCAAGTGGAATAAAATTGTTGTTTTGCTCTAAAATTTTAGATTATTTTTAAAAAGATGAGTTCCATTCTCCCAGTGTGGCTCCAAGTGTTGCATTGCATAACCTCCCAGAGGAAATCCTGGAACTGATTTACAAGGGGTGGGAGAATTTGATTTCCTTCGTATTTCTAGAAACCAGGAGAGCATTTTCTCTTTGACATAGCTTGATTAGAAATGTGGTGTTCGTTCCTCCTTGGAATCAGAATGAGATAGTTTTGCTTCTCTTTTCTAGTTTCTTCTGTAGATCTGTAGCCTCACTCTGGATCCTTGCTGTATATACTTGACACTTTTAACATAAATGTGTTTCAAATTCATTTTATGTAGTTCATTATTATTATGTCTCTCTCAAGCCCACCCTCCCTTTTTTTGTGCAGTTACATTATTTTATTTCTAGATCTTTTCCTGTTTACCAAAAATATTCCACAAAAAGCACTGAGGTAATGTGTGCACAGTTTTCTTGTGCAGGGTTTGAAACTCTGATTTGTGTTAAAAACAAAATTATTTTTAGTTTTAATATCCTCAGTACAACAGTGATAATGTTGCCAACACCCATTTTCTCATGATATTTTCCTCTAAATGTCTCCTCTCCTCCCAGTACACCTCTCTAGTTACTCTGGAATTTTAAACTGTTTGGAATGCAAAGAGTAGTTACTTTTGATTTGTTCTCTCAGAGTTAAATGGCTGTTTAATGTTGGTCCCACCTCTGTTTAGTTTTTGTTTTTTATTCCATTCATCTGACTTTGTTCTTTTTCTTTGTTGTACTTGTGTACCCTTGTTATGCTTGTATACTTTGAGCTTGGATATTACAACAGATACAATTGGAACTGAATGGATTTGTGGTTTGGGATTTGGAAATTAGGGTAGAGCTCTGCTGGGAAGCTTTCACATTTTCTTGATCTGTGTCCCACTTCACTTCTCCCCTGGCTGAGTTCAAGTTCAAGACTGCCTTTGGCGTTTATATTCCTGTAGTTTGCCTATTTTTCTTTTTTGGTCCTTTTATTTTTCCTTTTTAAATACCCCTGTTTTCAGGAGGGTAGTTATATCTAAAAATCTTGCTGTTCTTGTTACTCTGAGTGTACTTCTAGGAAGTGGGTGGATTGGGGTGGATGTAGGGAATTGGGAGAGGCTTTGCTGGACACTGTGGAAGTACTGGTGAGAAGCAGCTCTCTGCAAAAGGGGATTGCTGTGTAACACTTCTCTAGAACTTTCCATCATACAGTAGAAGCTCTGTCACATGGCTCTTGATTGACTCATTCCAGCATTATTAACCTGTTTTGGACTCATATTTCAAAGTGTGAACTTTCATAGCCCAGCAGTTTTTAGACCTTTTAGCCACATCTAACTGTTTTCTTAATCTAGCTTTAATATATCCTGGAAATACATACCAAAGGCTGCATGAAATGACAAATAATGATTAGTAATTAACTAGAATATGAGAAGAAACCTACTAATGCATATTTAGCAATGGTATTAAGATACATATTTTTCTTATGCTATTATTCACATAGAAACTTTGAAAAAATACTTTTAAAATACCAAAGCTTTTAAAGATTAGGCTTCATAATAAATTACTTTTGACCCTGATTCTAAATATAAATGTTATTAATTGTAGTCCAGAAGTAAAAATTTTAAAATTGAAAGACTTATCCTGAATTTTTAATTTATATAAGCTAGATACACAAATTGAAAAATTGGTTCATTACAATGTTCACACTTTATAATATACAGTGTCTTTTTATGAAACATACATCCCTTCACATACATATACACTATATGTATACACTACTGTCCAAAGGGTGGATAAAGTTGAAAAGTATACATACATTTTGAAAATATGTATATAATATGTGCAACTCCACAGAATTCACAGTGTATTGCAGTTTAAAACACTGAACAATCCTGCAGTTTCTAATTGGGTCACAGAAAATCCTTTGAAGCTTCCTTACTCATACTGATGCTCTGGCATCTAAGGCTGTGGTGTTAACATTTTCAAAATTAGGAGTGCCTGGGTGGCTCAGTTGGTTAAGTCTCTGCCTTCAGCTCAGGTCATGATCTCAGGGTCCTGGTATCAAGCCCCACATTGGGATTCCTGCTCAGGGGAGAGCCTGCTTATCCCTCTCCTTCTGCCTGTCCTCCTTGCTCTTGCTCTATCTCAAAGAAATAAATAAAAATGTTAAAAAAATTTTTCAAAATTATTAGGTGATAAAAGTATGACATAATTTGAAAACAAAGTGCTTATTTGTACTCTCAGTAATTCTCTAGATTTCCTTTATAGTACAACAACTACACTGTGGTCTAGGTTAAATGAATACACAAAAATAGAAGAGTTGGTAGGCTTCAGACATTTTTATTTTAGGTAATTACTTATTTAAAAATCAATTCTTTTTATGAATTCCAAAAAGTAAACTACAGCAAAAAATGGTGTGTGTCCCATTTTATTTCATGACTGATTTGAAGACAAGTAGACTAACGAGTGCTCTTTGCATTTTGGTTTAGGACATTTTTGACAGTGATTGGTATACCTCTAGAAACCTAATCGGGAGTGCCGACATCATTGTGATCAAATACAACGTAAATGACAAGTTCTCATTCCACGAAGTAAAGGATAATTATATCCCAGTGATAAAAAGGGCATTAAATTCAGTTCCAGTCATCATTGCCGCTGTTGGTACCAGACAAAATGGTAAGTATCTAATTTTTTTTTCTTACGATAAGAGTGCAGGTACCAAACTAATTTTAAATAGTGTTAAGTTTATTAATGATTGATATGGGTTTTTTTTTGGAAAAAAGATGACTGTGTTCAAATGCCAGCTGTTATCTCTTCATCACTGGGTATGATAGTGAGACATCAAAGGAAAGTGTCACAGACGACTGCTGGGATTCTGATGGGTACAAATTTGTCTTCTAAATTGCTCTTTTACAGAAGTGAAGGAAGTCAGTGATTGTGTTCTTTTGATCTAAGAGAGGTATTAGGCTGGTGCTGAGCTCTGGAAGACTCTTTTCGACATTCTAAAGGCCTGTCCAGTGGGAAGGATAGATTGCCTGCAAAAGGATTGGGCTTGGGCTTGGGAGCAGGATTTTTACATAGCTAGGAACGAGTGAGGTGGAGACACTGACACTCGTGCCTGAGAGAGGGGCTCATTTCCTCCATGGCCGATGGATTCAGTTGGTTCAGTCCGTTCCAGCCGTTGCTGCTACGCATATCGTCGTCAGATATCCTTGGGCCGACACAGAAGTCACTTTGATTTGGTGGTATTTTGATAGTTCTCTTTAGTGGTGTTTCCTCAGTGAAGCTGGCTTGGAAATTTTATTCTTTTTTTTTCTTCTCCCTTTTCATTAAGGTACAGCAAAGGAAAGGACATAAAGTTCACGAGGTACCATGAGTGCAGCTTAATGCATTTTTAAATATATATACCTCCCTGCAGCCATCTTACAGGTCAGGATAGAGAACATTTGCCTCACTTTGGAAGGCTCTCTCATGCCTCTTCCCAGTCACTAGCCCCCCTTCCATGAGATGACCACTGTTCTGACTTCTCACCATATAAATTAGTTCTATCTATTCTAGAAATTTACATACTTGGAATTATACTGTATGTAGTATCTTGTGTCTAATTTCAATTAGCATAATACTGACATTCATCTCTGTTGTGCTTGTCTACAATTTGTTATTTTGCTGTGTATTTTTCATTTGTGTCAATGTGCTGTACTACATTTATTCATTCTCCTTTTCATGGTTGTTTCATAGGAATAGGATTTTGGGTCATAGTCATAGGGTAGGTATATTAGAAGACACAAATAAAGTGGGCTTGACCCTTCCTTGACCCCACATCCTCTCTACTCCCCTGTGTTTCTTTTTATTACTGGCCTCAATTCTTGAAAGAGTCATCCACACTTCCTGAGTCCACTTCCTGACTTCCCATTTATTCTTCAGTCTACTCTAGTCTGACTTTGACTTTCACAATTACATTGTATTTGTTCTCACTCAAGGTTACCAGTTAAATGCTTCTTGCCAAATTTGATTTCCCTTTCCATTTAATTTACACTTTAACTTATATTTTAATACCAATTCGCCCTTTGAGGTTATTTGAACACATCTCTTCCTCCATTTAAAAAAGCTACTCTTTCTTTCATGGTTGTTCCCATTCTTTGTCTTGTTACTGGTCAACACCCCCTCCCCCATACACATATTGAAGCACTGCATCCTTAGTTGTTGCCAGGGTTCCATCCTTTGGCTTCACCAATTTCTTGCTATTTTGAATCTGTTAATCTCCTGTTCTCCCTTTCCCTGTGTAGTCACTGATGAATACCCAGTCTCTTTCTCCAGCTTTAGTTTCTCTTCCAACCTGTGTCACCACAAAATCTTCCCCTTTCTGCTGAATTCCATGTCTTGGTGAATGATGTCAAACCTATCCATTCACCCCTACTAGAATCATCCAACCCAACTTTCCTCCCATTCCCCATATCTAGTGCACTAGAAGCTCTTTTGGTTTCACATTTCAAATAAACCTCAAATTCATTGCTTTCCCTTTATCTTCATTGGATTTTAGATCCTAGTCATTCAATTATCTGTCATAGTAACCTTCCTTTTGGCTTAAAGGGGCAGTTCCTGATCTTGTAGGATCTGAAACTTACAGAGTTCTAGAGGTCCTTTGTAAGGGAAAAAAAACCAACATTACAGACACACACACACACACACACACACAAATAAGCATGACAATTTGCAAATCTAAAAAGCTATCAAATAAAACCACAATGAAATGCTACTTTACACCAGTCAGAATGGCTAAAATTAGCAAGACAGGAAACAACAAATGTTGGTAAGGATGCAGAGAAGGGGAAACCTTCTTACAGTGTTGGTGGGAATGCAAGCTGGTGCAGCTACTCTGGAAAAGGGTATGGAGGTTCCTCAAGAAGTTAAAAATAGAGCTACCCTGTGACCCAGCAATTGCACTACGAGGTATTTACCCTAAAGATATAAATGTAGTGATTCAGAGGAGCACCTGCACCCCGGTGTTCATAGCAGCAATGTCCATAATAGCCAAACTCTGGAAAGAGCCAAGAAGTCCATCTACAGACGGATGGATAAAGAAGATGTGGTATGTATATACAATGGAATATTACTCAGCCATCAGAAAGGATGAATACTTACCATTTACATTGATATAGGTGGAACTGGAGGCTGTTATGCTGAGCGAAATAAATCAATCAGAGAAAGACAATTATATGATTTCACTCATATGTAGAATATAAGAAACAGCACAGAGGATTGTAGGGGAAAGGAGGGAAAACTAAATGGGAAGTCATCAGAGAGGGAAAAAAACCATGAGAGACTTAACCATAGGAAACAAAAAGGGTTGCTGGAGGGGAAGAGGGTAAGGGGATGGGGTAATTGGGTGATGGGCATTAAGGAGGGCATGTGTTGTGATGAGCACTGGGTGTTATACACAACTGATGAATTATTGAATACTGTATCTGAAACTACTGATGTACTATGTGTTGGCTAATTGAATTTAAATAGAAAAAGAGAATAAATAAAAAAACTGTCAAATACCAGGCACCTGGGTGGCTCAGTGGGTTACAGCCTCTGCCTTTGGCTCAGGTCATGATCCCAGCATCCTGGGATGGAGCCCCACATCGGACTCTCTGCTCATCAGGGAGCCTGCTTCCTCCTCTCTCTCTGCCTGTCTCTCTGCCTACTTGTGATCTCTGTCAAATAAATAAATAGAATCTTTAAAAAAAATCTGTCAAATATCATAAACATTTAAAAAATATTTCTATTATTTAACAGCTTGACATTTCTTTAATTTTTCTTATATTCTTTGGCTGCATAGTCTTTGATTACTTCTTCATATGATAACCACTTTTGCTATTTTCTATATAGAGAAGAAAATTATAGTGTTTCTTCCAGTGTATTTCTTCACATTTCATATGTTTCTGGTGACGGGCACTGTCGTTTGTGTTGTGTTCCTCTTTCAGCCTGGCATCTTTGTTTCACAACACCAAACAAGTCTACAATGTAGGTGGCAGAAGCATTCCTCAAGGCTATTCGTGTACCAGGACAGTTCTCAAACATTTAACTGTACAAGGAAGTGACTCCAAACCACAAATAATATCTCACTAAACCTAAACTTAAATTCACATTAGCAGGATCCCAAAAATGCCTGTCATTACTCCCAGACTGCCTGACATAAAAGTGAGTTGGAGTGGAAAGAGGCAGTGGTCTTTACCAAGTATAGTTAGAGGATCGTATTTTGCAAATCTTACAAAAGCATATGACTGTGTTTCTCCCAAGGCTTTGGAAAAGACTCACACACAAGGGCCCTGACACTTAGGCTTCATCAGCTTTGTGGTGAATTGACCTATGGTCTCCTGTTCCATCTTTGATTCTTTCTGAAATAAATCCACTCAGAATAATCATCCTAGAATATAGGTCAGATCATGATAGTCAATGCTTTCAATTCTTTAGAAACTTACTTCTTTTTCCCTTCTATTTGCAAAATTTCAAACCCAAGAAAATTGACCAGAACAGTGAACTCCAGAGATTACACACACACACACACGCGCGTGCACACACACACACACACACACACAGACACACACAGAGACACACAAAGAGAGACTCTCTCTTTTTTCATTTGGGAGTGAATTATAAAATTATGGTATTTCTTCAGTGCTGATTACTTAAGCATGTATTGTCTAAGACAGAACCATTTTCCTATCAACCATAATCCAACCATCATTCAAGATATGTGACATACTATTATCTATGATCCTATTACTTTAAACATAACCCACATTCACATTTTCCCAATTGTTCCAAAGCTATTTTTTTTTAATCCAGAATGAAATTAAGGACTACACATTGCATTTAAATGTAATGTGTCTCGGGGTGCCTGGGTGGCTCAGTGGGTTAAAGCCTCTGCCTTCGGCTCAGGTCATTATCTCAGGGTCCTGGGATCGAGCCCCGCATCGGGCTCTCTGCTCTGCAGGGAGCCTGCTTCCCTCTCTCTCTGCCTGCCTGTCTGCCTACTTGTGATCTCTCTCTGTCAAATGAATAAATAAAATCTTTAAAAATAAATAAATAAATAAATAAATGTAATGTGTCTCTAATATCTCTCTGGTCTCTTTTAATCTAGAACAGTTCCCCAGCCTTCCTCCGCCCCCTGCTCCCCCGGTCTTTCATGACACTGACATTTTTAAAGAATCCAAGCCCATTATTCTGCATAATTCCTTTAGTTGTAGTGGTTGCAAAATAGTGATTTTCTGTCATTCCACCTACACTTATAGTTGGTATTCTTCTGTAAATAGAGCTTATCCTTCTCTCTGCTCCCACGTTTCTTTTAGAATCATTATAATTCATGGATTTGTTTTTTTAAATTCAATATTTTATAATCTGTTCTTATCCTTATCCTTTCTGTTGCTCATATTACTCCAAATTTGCATGGAGGGAGTCTTTTCAATTTAGTTCCAATTAGTTTTTGAGTGTTTCCTTATTTTATGGCATAAGATGTCCCAGGCTCACCTGGAATCAATCAGTCATTTCTTCAGGGAGCCCTGGTTCCATTTAGTGAGCAATGACATTAAGAAACTAAGATCGGGGCTTTAGGGGTGCTCATAACTTTGTCATTGCTTCAAGGCCCATTCATTGGAGATAGATACATAGATACATAGATATGTTAAATATATGTCTTTTAATCATGAGTTCCCATTGATACTTTTTCCAATCCAGTATTGTATCTCCCTTCAGTAATTTTCTCTTGTAATGCTTTACCTAAAAGTCATAATCATTCATGATCTATCTCCTGACTACTTTTGCAACCTTGTAGGCACAGTCTTTTGTATCTGATGTACCTGACACACTGAACTCCTTGAACTTAATGTCTGTCTTTAGATCTGGGGACGTCTCAACTTCATGATTTCTTCAGATATCACCTTCCCTCCATTTTTTCTATTCTGTCCTTTTCGGACTCTTATTAGACTGATGTTGAAACTTCTGGATCTCTCCTCTGTTTCTTCTATCTTTCTTTTATATTTCCTAAGCTTTCTTTCTCTGTGTTGTGTTAGAGGAGAATTCTGTGGTCTTCTTTTCCCAACTCACAAATCATTTCCACAGGGTCTGTCCTACTCTTTTGCTTTATTACGCTTTAAAAAATTCCCACAGCTTTTCATATCCGAGATCTCTAGCTGGTTGTTTTTCATAATTTCTTCTACCTGTTTTAAACATGTATACTTTAAGAAGAAAACCTCTCTCAAGTAATTATATTTATTTTAAATTCTATTTTGGTAGGTCTATTAAATCTTGCCTTAAGGAGGACAATCTAAGTCTTGTTATTTAATATTTTATTTCATAGTATGGAGGCTTCTTAAATGTTCGGTAATTCTTAAATTGCCTAGTTTGCAGTTTAGATTCTCTGTTGGATTAACGCCTTTCTCCTCCTCTGCCCAGCTGCTTTCTGAGGTTGGGGTGGGAGTGAGAGCTCATATGAGATCTGTAAGCCTTGCTGCTTCCACAGGGGTCTGCAACTGATCTCCACTCAGTTGTCCATGGGCCTCCTTATTGCTCCCCCATGATTGAGCAGTGAGTATTCTTGATGTTGCCCAGTGTGTGACTTCCCACCTGTCCTCTGAGCTTCAGCTTCTCTCGTTGGTCCTGTGCTATCTGCCTTCAGCCTTTAGGCACTCCTCCTTTCTGGGTGATGAGTTTCTCTCCTCTTAATTTTTGAGCCTTGCTGTATATGCACATCTCCCTTCCTCCTTCCCCGGCCCCTCCCTTTCTTCCTTCCTTCCATTTCTCTCTCCTCCCTTCTCCCTCCCCTCTCCTTCCCCTCTTTGTTCAATCATTTCTTTGATTTGACAGGGAGAAGAGTTGCAATGTGGGCTTAGCTTGCCATTTCGAAACTGGAAGCTAATGTGTTGTTGTTTTTTCTTACACCCAGACCTCTTCATGTGCTATGCCCTCTGATGGGAGTGCCCAGCCCTGCACAACTCCTGTCATATCAGCATGGCAAATTCATACCTATCCAGTAAATCACTACCTTTTCTATGAAGTCTTCCATAATCCCCAGGCAGAGTTAATTTCTTCCCTTCTGTTCCCTTCCCTTCTGTTCTAAAATAAGGTATGCAAAATGTTCCCATTTTGCATACCTTATTTTAGTATTTATTATATTTATTATATTATAATTTTCAGTCATGTCTATGTTGGCTTAGTTGACTATGAGCTTTTATCTATGTATATTTCTTGTTTGATACGTGGTAGGTACTCAAGAAACATTTGTTCAGTTAGTGGATGAATGGTTTTAAACAAGATGAAATTCATTTCACATATAGATGTGATTGCAAAGTAATTACCAAGCTAAATCTGTTATTCAACCCGAGGATTTTTATTGCTTCCCTTTCCCAGTCCCTTGTAATACATGAAGCTGTGCTGTGTGTTCTCCTGATAATTCCTCTCTTGAGCTCTTTTTAGAATTAGTTCAGCAAACACAATCAGTCTCATCATTTTCCTTTGTTACATATGTTTTGACAAGCTTGACTTGTATGTCTTCTTCATCACATTCGGCTTTGAACAAATTTTTGGCTTTTACTAAATATTGAACCCATCTTTAAAAGAGAATTTTTTTCTCTGAACACACCTAGGGGTATTCATAGCCTTACGTTCCCAAAAATGGGCATCCTTTCTTCTTTTCTTTTTGAAGTTCTGATAGAGTTGAGTACATCGCTAGGCTAGAATTCTTAAAAGGATTTCTAAAACTTTCAAGCACTTCGCAACATTGTAAGAATCACCTTACAGATTCTGAAAACCACTGCTTTGAAAGAGATACCATTCATTTGAATTCCAGAGTTACAACGTGTTTGCTTTAGAAAAAAAAAAATAGACACTTGTGATAACACCTTAAAAGGTATCACATAAGAGAAAGAAAAAAGACTATAGTGTTAACTAGAAGTGTAACACTGATGTCCAGAGTCGCTGTGACCCTGAGGTGGGCTCACAGAAGTGATATCCTGAAGAAGGCACTGCAATTTAAAATATTTTGAGTCCTTTTATGGTTACTGGTGAAATGCATAATACAGGTTTATTTTTTTCTAAAAGTGTTTTGTTGCTTTTCCTGCTATATCCACCACATAATGACGAGACATTTTTTTTTCCTCTTGGGTACATGTGAACAAAAAGCAATGTCTTCTGTGTCACAGAGATGTGAAGACTAGATGTGAAGAGGGATTTTCTAGGCGTGTGTGTCCGTAAAGGGCCATGGTTACAACATAGTGGAAAACCATGCTTAGCAGGGTTGAACCTGAAATTAGTTGGATTTTCCTTCAAATCAAGATTATTTCTTAAAATTGTTTTACATTATGTTCATTTAATTTTTCACTTGAAACACTTTGCTTTATTTTTGTTTAGAAATGCAGTTTAATAAGATGGACTGCCTTCTCACCCCATCCCATCAACATAAGGAGAGCTTTGTAGGCATAAGAAGGCCTCTGTCTTCAGAAAATCAAAGGCACTGTTTATGAATTTTTGTAAAGAATGCGAAATACCAATGTGTTATTTTTCAAGATAGGCTAAATTCTGTTCAAAAACTTTATGTGCTCCAAACCAAGATAATCTTGGAAAAAGTAAAAGCAAAAACTCAAAATTCATGGCTTAATTTTGAGAACCCAAGCTTAACTTTTAAATCACTGTGTCTTTACTTAAACTGAATTGTTATCTTATCTTTTGATATCACTTTACTTGTCAAATAGAGCAAGTAACAGTTTTATCATTGTTTTTCCATCTCTGACACACAAAGAGACTTGGACAAGTCACTTATCTTCCCTGAGCCCCAGTTTCCTCTTCTGCAGAAGGAGGTTGTAAATTCCTGGTTTCTGAGCTCTAAAATGCTTTCAATGAGGCTAAAATTATCTACATAGTTACATACGTAGCACACGCATGCATTGAATATCCTATGTGTACCTATATATGGCCCACCTATATGCAGTTCATTGGTAAGGAATTTGTTGTGTAGGCTGTGGAAGTTGCCCAAATGTCTTTTAAAAAATTTTTTTTTAGATTTTATTTGTTTATTTTAGAGAGAGGAGAGGGAAAAGCAGAGGACAAGGGAAGGGGGAATGATCTTAAACAGAACACACGCTGAGTGTAGAGCCTCCCATAGGGCTTGATCTCACGACCTTGAGATCATGACCTGAGCCGAAATCAAGTCAACTGCTTAACCGACAGAGCCACGAAGGTGCCCCACAAATGCCCTTTGAGGGCCACTGTACTTACTCTCTCAGTTACCAGACTGTTGGGTGCTCATGGTGCACGGCGGAGTCCCTTGCCGGGTATTACCTTTAGCTCATAGAAGCTGCTTGCTCAAGGTTCTGCCTCCTCCACAGCAGCCCTCATCTAACCACTGATTATCTTGATCGATGAAGGGGCACAAAGACACAGCTGCCTTTCTCCAAATGGGGAACCATTCTAAAAGGCCATCAAAGCTCCAGACCCCCCAGTAAGATCTGCTAAGATCTTTGTTATAGCTATATTGCAGTTTGAATTTTTCCTCTGCGCAGTCCCACTTCCCTCACCCCTGAAAACATTTATTCCCACGATCACTCCCTCAGTAAACCTCCTGCACTCCAGTCTCCACTTCAGCGTTTGCTTCCCAGGGAAACTATAACAACATGCATTTCTAAAAATGGACTTATCCCTGTTTAATTTGGCTGCCATTTAAACAATGATATATCTGATGTGTCATGAAACAAAACAAAGCTTTCTGCTGAATCTAGAGTTGAACATAAATTTTTAACTTTATTGAGGAGTGTCCTAATAGGTATGTTGGTCTCTCACCTGCCCAGCCATGCATCTGTACACAGTACAACCATGATGTTCACATTTAGGACAGTTCACATTTTTTTATCACATACTTTTTATTCCTTTAGTTTATGATTTTTTAGTCTTGAAGAGAAAGATAAGTGATTCAATTTGGTTTCTGCAGTTGAATACTTTAGAGTCTAATAATTGAAATGTCTGGATTAATAAGAATGTACTTCATATGAAATCTACAAAATTTTGCAGCCTTGAGGATTCAGATCTAGTCAACTTGGTGAATGTATTTCAAGTTTATAAAAAAAAAAAAGGAAGGAAGAAAGGGTAGAAAGAAGGAAGGAAAGGAAAAAAGAAAAGAATAAAAAGCTAACCCACTGTTTTCCATGGTTTCTATGGGCAATTATGTTGTTAATTTGTATTGATACTCAGGATGTCAGGGGTGTATAAAGAGAAACATGTCCTCCATTACTAGCTGGTTGGTTTAATTACTATAAAAATCTTGGTAATATATATTAACTTATTTTTAAGTTCTTATGTTTTCTAAAATACTGTTTATTCTTCTTGCACTCAAAGCTTGTTTACTTGAAAGACCTTTCTATTAACACTGATGCTTTTTATTCAGAGTCTGGTGGATAGTGGACGTACTACATGCTCCTGAACTATGGTTCTTGTATGAATTGTTAATTTGTTGTTGAATGTTCAGGTTGCCCGTGTATATTTCTTTTCCTGTTAAGTTTCAAAGCTCTTTGTTACTCCTATTTCTTTCCTCAGAAGAATTACCTTGTACATGCCCGCTATGTACCTCAGACAGAGGGAGCTGTGTCAGTACCACTGAAGGAATCCAACTTGCTAAAGAACTGGGAGCTACCTATCTTGAACTACACAGCCTTGATGACTTCTATATAGGAAAATATTTTGGAGGAGTGGTGAGTGGTAATCCCTGTTACATAACTTAAAGTCATTTGTCAGGCTGGCTGTGGTAGCTATTTTCTAGACCCTCAATTAGAACTTTAGTTTTAAAAGCATGATTGGTCTTAACTTTGAGAAACAAACTGAGAGTAGAAGTAAGACTTTGTCAGAATAAAATTATAATTTTATTTTTCTCTCCAAATGAAGCGTTTTCTATTGTCTAACAAGATAGTTTAGAATTTTCCATTTGGTGATACTGTTGTTTTTTGTTGAACATATCAAAACTATACTTACTTACACAAATCTGTGATGCCAGTTTTATTCCTAATCTTTGTATAGTTCAATGAGCCTTGCAACCTGAACCATTGGGCCATGGAAGTTCTCCTTCATTTCTATTTATTATTTGAAAAGAATGATTTTTCTTCCTCGATGTGTGTTTTGGCAAGATTTTGTATACTCCTAAATGATTCCACTCAGAAGTATCCATAGCAACTACTCCTACAAATAGTTTGTTGGGCCACCTAGGTGGCCTAGTTGATTAAGTGTTGGACTCTTGATTTCTGCTCAGGTTATGATCTCAGGGTCATGAGATCGAGCCCTCAGCCTCCACTCACCAGGGAGACTGCTTCTCTCCTCTCCTTCTCCTTGTGCCTCTTTCCCTGCTTGCGTTCATATGCTCTCTGTCTCTCAAGTAAATAAATAAATCTTAAAAAATACATTTGGAGTTTGCTTGGTCTGTAGCTATGGCATTTATTGGGTCCTATAGGCATTTTGAGGCCTGTCTTAGCACACAGCCCCTACCTTACACTATTAAGACTGCATGGTCCTTGGGAAATACTATGGAGTTTTATCATGTAAGTATTAACTCACTTTGGAGCTAGCTTTTCAATGCTGTAAGAAGTGACTCCACTCAAGGACAAATTTGGTAAACATGGATAAGAGGTTTACACCAAAGTAAACCCTGCATTAAGCAGGAGCACTTTGAACTTCTCCATTAGTTCCCTGGCTCTTTGTCAAGTACACTTTCCATTATACTAGAATATTCATTATGTAGATTCATGTCAAAATGTTGAGGTCTCCACAGATGACTGTAGAAATTTCATTTGTTCTGGACAGTTACCAAACTCCAAATAAGAACCAAAGATAAAATAAAACCCAAATATAAATGGTTCTGATTTCTGTCATGTATATCATGGCTATTATATAGCCCAGTAATGAAAAGAAACATTAATAATATAGCAATAAGGAAGATATACTCACAATATTGGTATCATAATAACTGTGAGAAACTTTTGTCTTTTTTTTAATAGTGATAAATAAAAAAGTAGAAATGGTAGAAAGGTAGAGAGGACTGAAATGTAATTTTCCTGTCAAAGACATTATATTGTAGTGGATTTTTTAAAAATCTTAATTTAGTCTAAGAATCTTGCATTTCCCTGAAATATTTAGGAAACTGAGGAAAAATGATAGTTTGGCTTCATTTGTTGGAGAGGAGGGGGCTGGTTCTCTTGGAGTGAGGTGGTCTCCTTGTTCCCTGCTCCACTTCCTGAACCTGAAATCTCAGGGTCACTCTTCCCACCTTCCAACTCCCACTTTTCTCTGCTTGCTTCTGCTTCCTCCCCCTTGTTTCTCTTTGTTCCTAACACTTGGTGTTGCAGTTAGAATCGGACACTTGATAAGGATTGAAGATGTGGTCAAGGATTGGAAGAAAGACACGGCAGTTTCTTTATTCCCTAAGACTTGGTGAGAATATGGAAAGAAGATCAGAATGATCCCTTATGGGATTGTTGAATAGTTAAGTATAGCTTTGATCTTGAGTGTAAGAAATAGTGGCATTTGCAGGAATATAGATGGAGATGATAATGTCAGAGTGAAAGGAGCATTTAAAGTCTTGTGTTTAAGGGTCAGAGATGAACACCTGGGCAAGAGGGGTGTGGGCCCTTTAGCTCTAGAGAGCCCCATCTGGTCCTCCTCCAGTTGCACCCCCATTACACAAGTTGATGGAGCCAAGAGTGTACGCCCCCCTGGAGCTAGTAGCCCTTCTAGACCTGCGCCATCCATGATGGTGGTCACTAGCCACAGGCCACTATTTGTGTTTAAATTAACTGAAGAAAGTTCAGTTCCTTAGGTGTACTACCCACATCTCAGGTGCTTAATAGCCACACGTGGCTTGTGCCTACTCTCTTCAATAGCACGGATATACAGAGCATTTTCATCAACACAGAACAGAAGGTTCCATTGTACAGTGCTACAACCGTGTTCCAAAACCCAGGACCCCAGAAGTCTCTGACCGGCGACACTCAGGCTGTTTCTCAGGCCTTTTTCCTGGGTCAGTCCACCTGAAGGTGAATTGCATTAGTAGTGTGTGTGTCCCTAGGTCTGAAGAGTGGCCAAAGGATGACTGCATATGAGGACTGGGGAAGGGGAGAGTAGAGTCTTCTTGTACACATAAAGCTCCTCAAGGCATGGGCTGGAGCAGGGGATGAGAAGAGAAGGGGCAGTCTTGGGGCCCAGGAGTCAGGCGCCAGTTCTCCCTGTGCTACATGAAGCTCTGAGAAGGCTGAGAATTTAAAGCTAAGCCTGGCTTCTACATAATAGTTTGTTTTCTTGATTTACAAAGTTTGAATATTTGTGTATGTGATACATAGACCTTTATCTATTCTTTTGCCCCAAGCCTTACAGCATAAGGCATAGGTCTGGCACTGTGTAAGTGCATGTGGTTAGGATTTTTTAAAGATTTTACTTATTTTTATTTTTATTTTTTAAAAGATTTTATTTATTTACTTGAGAGAGGGATAGCAAAAGAAAGCATGGGGGGGGGGAGGTGAGCAGGGAGAAAGAGAATCAGGCTCCCTGCTAAGCAGGGAGCCTGATGTGGGGCTGGATACCAGAACCTGAGATCATGACCTGAGCCGAAGGTAGATGCTTAACCCACTGAGCCACACAGGCGCCCCTGAGGTTTTATTTTTAAGTAATCTTTACACCTAATGTGGGGCTCGAACATACAACACCGAGATCAAGAGTTGTATGCTCTACTGACTGAGACAGCCAGGTGCCCCAAGATTTTTAATTTATTACATAAAGGATGTATTTCAATGAAATTTATTCAAGAAAAAAATAGAGCACGTGCAAACACTCCTAGTTGATATGAGCATCTGTGACCTAGAGCCAGATCTGTCCTGCCCTGAGTTTCTCTAGTGTTAACTGCTGTGGTTGCCCACAAGATAGTTATTGATAGACACATAGTTGCACTGCTGGACTTTCTTGATTATTCAAGAGAATAAACAGTTCCTTTTTGAATGAATAGTTTATTTATGCTTAGACAAGCCACAGTCTGTTCTACTTAATACATTTTTTAAATAAAAAATTATTTAGAAGTGTTTGCTAAAGCTTACATGTAGATGGTACTGGCATTGAAAACATTTGGCAAATGTGATTTGGGGTACCAATAATCTTGTCAGAGACATAATTTTGTTGAAGCTTTAATTAAAATTCACTTCATGTTTTAGTTGGAGTATTTTATGATTCAAGCCTTAAATCAGAAGACAAGTGAAAAAATGAAGAAAAGGAAAATGAGCAACTCATTTCATGGAATTAGACCACCTCAGCTTGAACAACCAGGTGCATTTATTAACCAATGTCTAGACATTCAACTGATATTTGTTATAGATCACTTCACAAGTCTTAGAGCAGTTGTCCCCAAATTTGAGTATGTTGAGGACTCACCTGACATTCTCATTCAGTAAATCTGGGGTGGGGTGTAGAATCTGATTTTAAAATTAGTCTCCAAGTGATTCTGAAGCAGGTGGTACTTGGACCCATTTTGAGGAATACCATCTTAAACTTGATTCTATAGCTTCTTTAAAAAATAATTTCTATGGTGAAGAGCTATCCTATATAAAAGTCTAGGAGAAATAACAACCAAATGCAATGCATGAACCTTACTTAGTTCAATAAAAACATCTCAAAGACCTTCTTAAGGCAACTGGGTAAAATTTTAATATGGACTGGAAATTAGATGACATGAGGGAATTGTTAATTTTTTGTGTATATGGTAATGGTTCTGTGATTAATGGGACAATGTCCTTATTCCTTGGAAATGAACACGACATTATTTAGAGCTGAAATATCTTGATGATTCAACCTACTTTTAAGTGGTTCAGCGTGATAAGTGTGTTCTTGTGTATCTGGCTAGAGATAAGGCAAACATAAAATGTTAATTGTAGAATCCAGGTGAAGGATATGTGTGTGCTTATTGTATTATTCTTTCAACTTTTTGAATGTTTGAAAATGTTCACAACACAAGGTTAGTGGAAAATAAAGTTAAAAAACATAAATACAATTCTATCAAAATTAACTTTTATCAAAATTTTTGAATAATTGTGTCATAGAAATATAGTAGTACTGTATGCAGGCCAATTTGTTATGGAAATGGTTTTAAAATGTAGGTACTTTTTAAGTACTTGTTAAATAAATCTATATAAATTAAAAAGCAGGAAAACATAAGTTAGTATGGGAAGTCAATTCCAGGTTGTTGTTTTTTTAAATGCAGATAGATTCTAAGTGATGATACACAATTTGGCTTTGAACTTCATGGTGTGCAAAGGAAGAGGGGAGACTTGGTCTGTTATATAGCAAATCTGCTGGTTTAAGTACTTTCTAGATGAGAAGATGTGTGAGGAATAGCCAAATAAACAATGAAGATAGATAATTTCTTGGTTCTTACTATTCAAGAAGAGAAAACACAATAGTACCTCTGAGAAAACAAAGCTGTTCATGCCATTTAGCAATAGGAAAAGTTTCTCATGTGGGTTCCGCTTGGGGCACTAGGTGACCTAATGGACAGGCCTTTCCAAAGTGTCTGGTCAGCAAATGCAGTTTTCATTCTCACAGGTGGTACCCTGTGCCCTTCTGTTAGGTATCACTCTGAACATTTGTTCTGGTGCTCATTTGTTCTAAGGATACATGCTGGTCTCTGGGGCATGTGGCTTTCAGATTGTTCTTAAGCCATTAAGGGTCTGTGAGATGTCTTCGGCATTGGAGGGAAGGGTGAGTGGGGGTATAGTTCAGTAAAAGCCTAGCCACCAGAGCACCTTTTTATTTTCAGTTCTAGAGACTAGAGTTTTGCTTTAGAGTAAAGAGTTTTCATTCCTAAAGCAATTTGACTTCTACTGAATTCAAGGTTGAATTCTACTTTCCTCAGCTCAGTTTGGGATAAAGCTAGCCAGCAGATATTTTACAGTTAGGGTCTATGATGAGGGCCTAGGGTATGATCCTCTGTGGGGATATTCTGACTTAACTGAGGGCTAATTTATCTTTGTTAGTGATCAAACTAGGAAATGGAAGGTTGCATCCTTATTTTGAAAATTAGGGAGTCTAACCAACACTCTACCTACGGTGTGCTGAGGGGAAAGACTGGTATTTGTTTTACTAGGAGGAAAAAAACAATATTAATTTTAGGATCAAAATAAAATGGTCAAGATGGTTTCCAACAATGGAGTCCCAAGACTCAGAGCCCTGGCTTTGAGGGATTACAGTTTTAACAATTTAATTTTAACAATTTCTTCCCCCTTCCATTTCCAAACCCAGGAGGAAAGTGACTTCCAATGTGAGGTTAGGTTCTTCAGAACTTGTTCAGTAATTTATTTGAATTTTTATCAGGTGAAAGTAAGGACCTATAACTACCAACATATTAAAATGTAATATTTGGAGAGAGATTTTATTTGGGGACAACAAAAAGTGAGCAGTAGTATTATATTGCTGTTAATGGCATTAGTACAATTTTCATTTTCGCTAAAAAAAATACTGTGTATTTCTGTGACTGTTATCTCAGGATAATTAATTTATATGTGTTTATAATTAGATTAGGTTATACAAAATTGCTGTTTTCATAGGGTCACAAATGGTCAAGTATTGGCAATTTTATATGGTTCAACTTAATAACATTAAGAAAATACTCTCTTGTGTTTAAAAGAAACCTGAAATATCCAGGTCTATAGACGTAAAGAAGAATTTATCACTTTTATTTTCTTTTTTGAAACAGAAAAAATGCCTGTCTTAAAGGCTGAAGCATCACATTATAACTCTGATTTAAATAATTTGCTGTTCTGCTGCCAGTGTGTGGATGTGGTGTTTTACAACCCAGATTTAAAGGAAGTTGCCGAGGCCCACAAGATTGTTCTGTGTGCCGTAAGCCATGTTTTCATGCTCCTTTTCAATGTGAAGAGTCCCGCTGACATTCAGGATTCCAGTATCATCCGAACTACCCAGGACCTCTTTGCTATCAACAGAGACCCTGCATTTCCAGGTGCTAGCCAGGACTCTCCAGGCAACCCACCATTACGTGTCGTTGTCAAAGACGCCCTCTTCTGTTCTTGTTTGTCGGACATTCTGCGCTTCATTTATTCAGGTATCTTGTTAAATGGTTCTGGTAGGTTCTCTTAAGCTTTTGAAAGGAACTGTGCCTGTGGGCCTCAGGTGTATTGATTAGTTTCACATTTATCTTCTTTCTACCATCTGAGGTAAGGATTATACATGAAATAATCTTTACTTTATATACAGGAATTGGTCTAAGCTTTCCATCTTCCTTATTAAGTTTACTTGCCTTGGTTTTAAATCTACTTGTGAAAATAATTTCTTTTCCTACTGAGCAGATATATTTTATTATGTATGTATTATGTATTTTATTTAAACAAAAATATCCAAAATGTGAAAATTTGAGAATTTATTGTCTAGTCTAACTCTAAAGAAACAAAATTTTCAAAATGTGAATGAAATTAAATATCTGCATCTTTTTTGGAAAGATTTATTTACTTGAGAGATTGAGATAGCAAGAGAAAGCAGGAGCCCACGCTAGAGAGAGCATGAGCAGAGGCGGGGGCAGAGGGAGAGCGGAAGCAGACTGCCTGCTGAGTGGGGAGCCCAAAATGGGGGCTCTCGGTCTCAGAACCCTGAGATCATGACCTGAGCTGAAACTAAGATTCATATGCTTAACAGACTGAACCACCCAGGTACCCTAGTGTCTGCATTTTAAAAGCTGACCATTTATTCACTTTTCTGTCTTACTCTTAGATTTTGGAGGGAACTGAGAGAAATTAGCAGGGTTCTTATATTCAATTTAGTAACTGGAAACAGTCTCCAAAGCTAGTTTAGTCTGAGATCTAAATTAATTATTTTGTTTGTTTGTTTTTTTAAGATTTTACTTATTTATTTGACAACAGAGATCACAAGTAGGCAGAGAGGCAGGCAGAGAGAGAGGGGAAGCAGGCTCCCCAATGAGCAGAGAGCCCGATGCGGGCTCAATCCCAGGACCCTGGGATCATGATCTGAGCCGAAGGCAGAGGCTTTAACCCACTGAGCCACCCAGGCGCCCCTATTTTGTTTTAAGATTTTATTTTTAAGTAATCTCTACACTCAGTGTGGGGCTTGAACCCACAACCCCAAGATCAAGAGTCACACGCTCCACCAACTGAGTCAGCCAGGCACCCTGACTTTGACTATATTAGATTTTACTATTTTTTCTTACCATGCACTTATCTTTTTAACATAGAGCTTCCCAATTATTTTTCTTGTTGCCCTTTTAAATACTTATAGCTACTACATTTTAAAAAATAGAGATTTTATCTGAGTCATTTAGCCAGTGAATTGACGGTGTCACATCTAAGTGTCCCATATAAGAATGGAAAAGAATTAATGTAAGTGACTTTTAAAGTAAGCATCTAAGTAAGAATTTTCCGAGAATGTCTCTCTTCTTTAATTTTGCACTTGGAATCATGTTCTGATGAAATATTAAGTTAAAGTAACTCCTCTGGAGTGTGGCTCTGGAGAAACATTATAATCTGCTTTTAGACTTCAGAATGGGGGACAGACAAGTTTACAAAGGTTTGCAGATAAAGCGCTGTCTCATATTTATAAGAAACTTTTGGATAGTTGAAATAAATGAAATTAAGATTTTACTTTTTCTCATTTGGGCTGTGGTTATATAATTTTACTATAAGTTAAAGTAAAATGTAAAGTTTTTGAAAAGTACAGTTGCAATATGAAGATTTAAGTGGATTGAAATGTATGTGTGTGTGTGTGTATAGATATATATGTATCTATACACACAAACACACACACACACACACACACACACACACACATATATATATATATATATTTATATATATATATATATGGGTGCCTGCCTGCCTCAGTCAGTAGAGCATGTGCCTCCTGATCTCGGGGTCATGAGTTCAAGCCCCAGGTTGGGTGTAGAGATTACTTTAAAAAAGTTTTAAAAACATCTCTCTATAAAAATACACATACAGAAGTAGAACGGTAGTGGTAGGCCTTAAACCCATTATTCAGTGAATATTGGCTTGGGGAAGGCATAAATAACCACTCCCACAGAGCACTCCAGCACAGTGCATTCAGCATGGCAGGTTTTGTGTTGGTTGAATTAGTGAGTAGACTTCAGTAGCTGTGAATCATCATATGAATAAAGCAGACTAAACACCTCATTTACTACTACAGATTTTTATGTTTAAACTTTGAACCTCACAGTTTAGAATTTAAGGCTAGATCTGAAAAACAAAAATATTTACATGTTAAAAAAATGTCTTTAATGATGTTTAGAGAACTACACAGGAAGTGTTAGACTTTTCTTTTTAGTGATGTTACTGTTGAAATTATGAGTTACTCAGTAAGTTTACGACAATATCTATCGAATACTTTCGAAGACACATGAACACTTTGAGGTCAGTTATATCTTCTTTAATAAGGTAGCAGTAATAGCTAGCTGTATCTCCAGTGACAGAACCTACTTGTCTTTCTCATAGGGAGTGATCTTTTAAATTGCAAAATTAATATATGCAGATGGAAGAAAAGGGCAAAGAAAAATAAAGTTCTTTCCTCAGCCCCCTTATGTGTTGGCCCTAATGCTATTTGAAAGAAATAAATTTATTGGGAAATATACATTAAGGAAAATGTAATCTTTAGTAAGTGTTGTTTTCTGGGAACTGGCTGGAGCATAGAGTGGGAGGTGAAGGCTTGCAGGAGATGAGGCTGGCAAGCCATATGGAAGCTGCTCATAAAAGCTGTTCCAGAATGCTGAGCATGATCAGACTGGGCTTTGGCATGCTCATCTTTGGTGATAGTAGAGGGACGGAATAGAGCAGGCAAGACAGAGTTTAATAAGGAAGCTGCATTACTCTGGAGATCAGCCAAAGGCCATTATTCTGACAACAGGTGGCTGGTGCTACAGCTTATCCATCATTTGGACCAGTGTTTCTCAAACTCAATGTGCATGCAAGTCAGCTGGGGATCTTGTTCATGTGCAGATTTTTTTTTTTTAAAGATTTGATTTATCTGAGAGTGAGAGGGAGGGAGGAGGAGCACAAGCAGGGGGAGGGGCACAGGGAGAAACAGATGCCCCGTCGAGCAGGGAGCCCAATGCCAGGCTCCTGGGATCATGACTTGAGCTGAAGGCAGACACTTAACTAACTGAGGCACCCAGGTGCCTCTCAAGTGCAGATTCTGATTCAGTAGGCCAGGGGTGAGGCCTGAGAGTCTGCATTTCCCGCAGTCTCCCAGGTCAGGCTGCTGCTCGGGACTACACGCAGCTGCGCCGCCTGCTCTCGGAAGAACCACACGCCAGCCATGGCCAGGTGGATAAGAGCCTGGCATTCAGTCCAGAGGCCCGGGGAAGAACCCAGTCTACCAGTCCTAGGGCACAAAGTCAAAATGGGGTCAGCTGTAAGACTGACTGATGTGAGCTCTTCGGACCTGGAGCAGTTGGTGGTGCTCCGGGTAGCCTCTGCCTGAGGGTGGGGCGGGAGATGATCTGTGGCTGGGTGAAACGAAGTGAGCCTGGGAAGAGCAGTGGGAGGCAGAGGTACATCATGGCATGCAGAGCTTTCTTCAAGCCCTTGACCAGCTCAGAGCACAGGCTTCCTCACCTGACACTGAGCTGCTGCATTTCTGCTCTGTGCTTTCTCTCCTTGTATGTCAAGACCCAGAGAAGAGGAGGTGTCAGGTAAGGGCTGGGCCACAGGCCATTGACCTGGGGCTGTAGGGAGACCCTGATGCTTTGAGGAGAAGGGAAATGAAACGCTTCAGCAGGTACCTGTTACTCTGCATTTATAGAGTATAACCTCAGGCTCAAACAAAAGTTATATTGCATTTAAATAATGTTTATGGGACACCTGGGTGGCTCTGGCTCAGTGGGTTAAGCCTCTGCCTTCAGCTCAGGTCAAGATCTCAGGGTCCTGAGATCGAGGCCCACATCGGGCTCTCTGCTCAGCGGGGGGCCTGCTTCACCCTCTCCCTCTGCCTGCCTTTCTGTCTACTTGAGATTTCTCTGTCAAATAAATAAATAAAATATTTTTTTAAATAATGTTTAAAAAGATACTAAAGCTGTATTTGTACAGTAAAGACAATTTTGAAAAAATTGAGAAAATTTGTTAAGAGAAAAAAAATCAACCCAATTCCTACTCTCGAATGTTGAAACACTTACTGATGTTTTGTTTTATCCTCTAGTCTTTGTGCTTAGGGTTACCATTTATTTAGAAAATATTTTTTTATCGGGGGTACCTGGGTGGCTCAGTCTGTTTCACGTCTGCCTTTGGCTCAGGTAATAGTCTGGGGTACTGGGATGGAGCCCCATGTTGGGCTCCCTCCTCAGCAGGGAGTCTGCTTCTCCCTCTCTCTCTCTACCTCTCACCGCTGCTCATGCTCTCTTTCTTAATAAATAAAAAAAGAAAATGTTTTTTTATCAAATTAAAGAAAGGTTTTAAACATATATATATGTAAATACAGATTTACAGATATATATTAAACAATTATTACATATATGCTTATATAATTGTGTGTGTGTGTGTATGTATATACACACACAGAGAGAAAGAGAGACTTCAGTGAAGAGGACAGGCTTATGGAATTTTTGTTTTGCTTTGTTTTTTGCTGTTGTTGAGCACTTTAAAACTTTTGACCCAAGCACAAGTTTTAAGACCCAATTATGCAGAGCTTTCCTCACAGAAGCCCTGGCTTACCCACAGATTATGTTAGGGGGCAATGAAGACAGGAGCTGTTTGTACTCGCATCTTTTGGGTCTACGCAGAGGTAGAAGTCCACAACACGGCATGCTCAGGAATGTTTGCCCTGAGCAAACGTAGACTGAAAAACTGTCTTCAGTCTATCTCCTGCTTTTTTTTTTTAAAAAACCAAATTACAAAGAATGTCTTAATTCTCTCTAAATAGCATACTTCTTTTTAATTTTTAGGAATTTCAAATTTTGGATATATTGTGTCACCATGGACATTTGGGTCCTGTATTTAGGAAGGGTCTGGATAATGGTATAGTTAACATAAAGCTTCGATATATTCTCCAATGCAAATTCCTAAATAAATAGACACAGTAAAAGTATGTGTTTTTTGTATGTTACTTTTCTCATGGGTAACAGCTAACACTTTAGACTGTGTAAGTACTGAAAGTCTGTTACTCAGAGAGAAGGAGCGAGGCCAGCAGGTTCTGGGTCTCCATTGAGTCATCCTTTATTGGCATACAGTTGTGACATTCTTATAATACTCGATAGTCCTTATGCTTGCAAATTCCTGACGCACACAGTTTCAGATGGTTAGGAATTGAAATGTATGTCAGAGCCTCAAGAATTTTGCTTTGAGCTCTTCATACCACAGATGGCCCTTAGAGTTTCACATCGCTTATTGAAATGCCGCCAGAGTAAACGAACATGTGGAAAGGAGCTTTCCTCTTCAGCTTGTCTCATATCTTCCGGCTCTTGGAATTATTCTGTGGTATGCTCTTTTCTGCTCTGCCTAAAAGCACAGCTTGTGTGCATGAGTACACCATGCTCCCTAAGAACCTCAGTCAACTCCATCAGTGCTCTGAGAAGTTAACTGAAGAGAAAATCCCAGTCAGTTATGCAAGAGAAGTTCTAGAGATCTGTATGGTATCATGTCTATTGTTAACAGTACTGTAATATACACCTAAAATTCTGCCAAAAAGATAAACCACATGTTACATGTTCTTTTTTTTTAAGGATTTATTTTTTTATCTTAGAAGGAGGGAGAAAGAGAGAGAGAGCAAGTGAGAGGAGGAGTGGAGGGAGAGAGAGAAAGAATCCACAAGCAGACACCACACTGAGCATAGAACCTGACAGGGGCTCAATCCCAGGTACCTGAGATCATGACCTGAGCCGAAATCAAGAGTTGGACACTTAGCCAACTGAGCCATGCAGGCGCCCCACATGTTAAATGTTTTCACAACTTGGTTAGCATTTCTAATTCTATGAACAGCCCAATCCTTATAGTACTCTATGAACTATTCTTACATTCGTCTTTAGTTATTGGATCCTTCTGTGTCTGTTCTCAGACAATGAATGGCATGTAAGGATTTACCTGCTGTTCATCCCATGTACTTTGACTTAATTTTTGCTCTCTCTCAAATAATATTCTGAATGGGATATTGTGTAGGTATTCGTTAGTTAATACAGTTTATTTTTAACAGCTAGTATCTGTTCTCCTTTAGCCTGTGTAAGTGTAGATGATCAAAATATACCTACTGTTTGCTACATACCACTGATCCTGGGTTTTGATCAGGGGTGAAATGTCTGGAAGAAGAGCAGTGATGATCAACACTCAGTGCTGATCAACACTTAAAATCACTTGGGAGGCTTTTACTTCAGCCCCAGAAATTCTAATTTAATTGGCCTGGGACTGATACCTCCTTGATGGTGTTTTATGAAAGATGTCCAGGTAAATGTAATGAAATGCACGGCTATAGTTGAGAACCACTGGCATAAATTCTTTTGGTCTGAGTTCTGTCGGCTTCTCAGGGGTTCCTTCACTTCTGACATTGTAATGTAGACTGTAATGTTTGTGAGTGTATGGGAAATTTCCTGGAGAGATTATGCAAAGAATTTATCAGATTGTACAAAGAGTGCGGGACCTTAAAGTTAAAAATCTTTAGTGCTAAAAAATGAAAAAAAAAAAAAATCTGGACATTTCTAGACTGCAAACCTTTGGGAATTTGAGGAGGAAGAGGAGTTAACAGTGAAGTCAGAAAAAGAGCAGCAAAGGTAGGAAGAAACAGTGGGGTTGCTGGAGCTGGAGGCACCACCTTGTGAGAGCTGTTTGTGTTTATCCCTTCCCAGCTCCATGCTCTGTGATGTCCCGTCAGAGGCCTGAATGTGGCCATGGTGTGAGTATGTGTACCACCGAGGTAGCAAATGGCCCAGATCAGGGCTCTCCTTCCCCTTCCCCCACTCCTCAACATACACTGTACTAATCATGAAGGTTAGGTAAGGAGAAGTTCAAAGATATTCTAGAGTGCCCAGTACTACAGGGCTCTACTATCACGTGACTCTTCAGAGTAGCTTTGGATCCGGTTGGCTCAGGCTGGCTGCAATTGCCTGATATCATTGGTTCAGTAAACGTTTATTATGAGCTCTCCCCATCCCTGATGTCCATGAAGGTATCTGGCAAAGCTCTGGATACAGAAAGTGGGACATCAGAAGAAACAGATTGAGAGATTAAAAAGGATCTTGAGTGACATAGAGGTGAGATGATTTGTTCCAAGTCACATTAGCAATTAATGGAAGAGGTAGAACTACAGCTTAGGTCTCTCAATTATGCCTGCCCACATTACACCTTGGTTAATTTTATTTTTAGGAGTTAGGACTTTGTGTAAGCCATGGGCTAGATAGGGATTGTCTCTTCAAATATCATCATCAGAATCGTACTTTTGGAAACTTATCAGCATTAAGTTTTGGGATTGATTCAGTGAGGAGAGGGCCGCTGAGCAGCAGGTAGGCTGTATACGAGACTGCTATAAACCAAGTGAGAGAAGCGCCTGGAGAAAGGAGAACTTCTGCTGACCTTCAAACAGTTTTGTAAGACACAGAGGACTGGAGCTGAAAGTGTAGACAGAGTAAAATGAGCCTAAGAAGAGATAGCTTGGAAGGAAATGGGTTGGGTGAGGACAAAGGAAGGAAGGGACCAGGTGCTATGATTTCCCTCCAGTGCTCTGGTCATATAGTTCATCAGGACAATATACCTCCCTTCTTCAGGTTGGGTCTGTAGAGGTGGCTGTTGAACATCCTTATCCGACCCTGGCAATGCACGAGATTTTCTGAATGCATTCTGTTCCTGCTGCTCATTCTTCTACCTGATGTTTGTTGCTGCCTTCCTTGATTAGTATGATTTAATTTAATTTGGAAAAGCCACATCTGCCTTCTTACCCAGGGCAAATAAATACTTTGAGTGTGGGAAGGACTGCTAGTGATGGCAACTTAATATTCTGGCTATTGCTGTCATTTTTAGATGACCATCTATTATAAAGAGGTGGCAGCTGTCCAGGGAGGCAGACTTCAGGTTTCAAGAAGTACATTAGGGGAAGGCAAACTGATTTTTTTTAAATGTGAGAACTGTTTAAATGTTTTAGTGTAATTACAAGGATATGTATTTGGTAAGGAAAAAAGAAAATAATAAAAGAATGAACAGTAATAAGATATTTATTTTAGTACTTCCTGTTTTAACATAAAAATCCAACATATATTAATTTGTTTACAGGTGCTTTTCAGTGGGAAGAATTGGAAGACGACATCAGAAAGAAAGTGAAAGATTCTGGAGATGTTTCAAGTGTAATTGAGAAAGTTAAATGCATTTTAAAAACACCAGGAAAGGTAAATTCCTTTATTGAAAATCAGTTTACCTTGATGTTCTCTGAATTTTAACAAATATACGATAGTAAAATGATAATATTGAGTCATGAGAAGAGTCAACAGTATAGAAATGTGTTTTTCTTGAGTCTGTTTCTGCCATTTGAATATTTTAAACACAAACATGTATTTCTCACTACCTCAGATTTTAATTCATGTAAGAATTGAAATATGTGTGAGTCATGTCTTTAAAATGTTGGTTTGTGAATTCCACCCTCCAAAACATTCCCGTAGAGCTCCAGGAATATGCAATCTATGTGAGGAATGAAGGGCTGTTGAATCTGTCCATTTCCAGTTAAGCTTGTTAAAGGGGATGCTTTCTCACTTCTCCAAATTTAAGTCCAAGTAGTTTTTAGGAACAAGGCAGTTTCTCTGCGTACCTTTTTCAAGATTCCTGAGAAGTCCATTTGATCAGGTGGACAGTTAAGGATTTCTCATCTTTTGTAGGTTTAAAATTATAAACAAGGTCAAAGGTTATAAAATACAGACTTTGTACACAGTCCAAAATGTGTGCATATTAAAACTCTAGTCCCTTAGACTGTCCAGTCTGTAAGGGCTATAAAAATACATTTGTTAGTTTTAGAGACAAGTACATTACACAGTTGAGCCAGTGTATTCTTATTTCAGATTCTGTGCTAAACAGATTGGCTATAGTAGACAAAAAGGTAAGCTATGTACAGTGCCTAGCAGAAAATAGACTTAAGTTAAATGTAAGAGAAATTATTATTCCTTTAGTTATTTTATATGGGTGACTTTGTCAATTCTACAACCTAAGACTTTTTAAGTTAATATTTTTAAGTTAATATTTTAAAACTGTACTAGCTTTTAATGAAGATTTCTGACTTATTTGAGAAAAAATGTAAACAGAGTAATATGGAATTAAGGGGCAAGACTTTTCTTATCTCCATCACACACAGAAGCAGCCACACAGAACTGTCCGGTTTTCCAGGGGATGGCAGAGTAGTAGCTCTCTCTTAGCAGTCTAATTCAACTAAATAATGCTTTCATAGAATTGTGCACATAAACCTGCATTCTATTTGCCAAAAGTTCTCTAGATTACTTGTGTATAGACCAGTGAAAATGTATACCACGTATATCAGTGTTGTGTCCAAACTACTATCTTCCTATCTTTTTTGCATTCAAATTCAAGGCATAGGTGACAAAGGACTCATGGTCAATCGATCTATCTATTCATGAAAAATATACATCTACATAGTATTCATGATATACAAATTTATAACCTTTATATTAATGGTGAGGACCGAAGTGTTGCTTTTTGTTCTAAGTCTGCGCCTTTTCTTGAGTGTGATTTTAAATGGTCATTCCTTTGAGTACTGAGAAAAAAATGAATTCTTGGGGAAGAGGCTGGAGGTTCTTCGATTCTGTGATACTGAACTAAATTACCTCCTTTGTACAGGAGGAGAGATGAATTCTGCACATTCTTCCTTTGCTTTCCTGGGGTAAAGTCTCTCTCATTCACGGAGTACAGCATCGAGCTGTAGCCCCGAGTTAGGAATGAGCAAATGTGCATTTGAATTGTGAGTTGTCCACGAATTACTCTTGGCTCTGAGCAAGTCTCCTCAGGACTTTCTGTAAAATGAGGCAGAGATGATGATTTCTAAAGCCCTTGCTGGTTCTCAGATTATGTGCTGCTTTTTGACTTGCTCTGCTTTGCATGTGGCATTTGCCTGAATCCTCTCCACCAGTTCCTCTAACGTGTGTTAAGGGAGGTTGTGTACAGGATCTGAGAACGTGCTTTATAGGAGCAGGATTTGTGTGACCTTGTTTTGCTTCTCTGCCTTGCTCATGAAAATCATTCTGGAGTGTGTTTTCTTCTTCCTTGTGAGGAAGGATCATATTTTGTTTCCCTCTTAACAAAGATTCTAATTTCCCACCAGAGTGCGTTAATTCCAAGTGGAGAGTAGGTGCCGTTTATTCTTACTGGTGCAGTTGTATGCTTGACTATTTTGGGGGGATGAAGCTTTCCATATTCCCTGGATAGCCAAGTAGAGGTTAGAGTGCTGATGCAGGCAGAAGTCCTGAGACTCATCTAAGGAAACCGGAGGGTGAGGGAAGAGGGGCTGGTTCTCGAATTCTGGGGCTGGAACAAAGGAATGTCTGAAAGATCACAGGAAGGATAAACAAAGCCCCAAAGCTGAAGTGGGATGTAGTAGGGGCTAGAGACCGCTGAGTCGGACAGAGGCACTATTAGGCACTATTATGGGAGGCCACCCCCTAGAGTGAGCAGGTGTGTGAGCATAGATAGGTGTGGTCTGGAATGCTGGAGTGGAGATCCAGGCAACCATTGATTGATTCCAGGAATCCCAGCTGTGGGTAGGATTGTAAGACTGTACATTAAGATGGAGATGAATCAATTCACCACTCTCCAGTATTTTAATGTTCATCTAGTAAGTAGTAGGACATGATGTGCTGGGCGGAAATGCATGTTTTTTTAAAATGACAGATTCAATTTGCGTGTGTGTACCTTTCTAGTTAGTGAACACACTAACAGGTTGTATATGTGAACATATGTTACCAGGCATTTCTTTGAGGTTGACCGTTGTCTGCTTCCAGCTAACGGGCACGTGCGTGGATTCAGAACCCTGCCCTTCTCAGCCAGAGAGCTGAGTTTGCCCTTAGTTCGCTCACTGCTGAGAATGTGACAGAGAGCCGTGCTGCTGCCTCTCGTGTAGCGCGTGTCATTCTTGAGGACAAGTTCCCACGGCAGCTATGAGCACAGGTGCTGTGGAGGAGGGACTCATTATTTCTTTAGACGTTTAGTGTCGTTTTCCAAATTCTCTAACCAACCTATGTATTTATTACCAGAGTGTATTGTACATTTCCTCTTGTATTTCTGTTTTCCGTTATAGATTAATTGTCTAAGGAATTGCAAAACTTACCAAGCCAGAAAACCTCTGTGGTTTTATAACACTTCCCTCAAGTTTTTCCTTAATAAACCAATGCTTGCTGATGTTGTCTTCGAAATACAAGGTATGGTGCAATTTTTACGAAGTTCAATACTCATTTTTCTTTCTTATTTTCTTACCTAACTTTCTATTTCAGCTTTGAATATTTTGGGTGAAGAAAATACTATTCTCTAATGCAGGATATAGATGACTGGCTGACCCTCAGCAAAATCTAGGGAAATGAAGTACTTTTTTAAGACTAGGAAAGCAGTTTATATTTTCCTAGTTTTTCCCCCCCTAACCATATGCTTCACTAGTTCTTAGGGACTAGTGTGGAATGGAATGATCTATAATATCACCTCATTGTATACTTTTGTCTGTGTATTTCCTTAAGATACTAGTTGTTGAATCATCTGAAACCAGCCCCCTTCACATTTTATTACCTGTAACTCATTCAGTTCTCTTCTTTCTGTTTGAGCAAAAGGAATTAAGCATTCATTGAGGGTCATGCCTGGCTCACATTAGGCCTGGGTAGGTATTGCTACATTTATTCCTCATGGCACTCTGAGAATTATCACCAGAGCAACTGAGAGCCGCTTTTTATCTCTGTAGGAAAGTAATGCTACCTAATTTTAATAATGATAAGCTGTTTTAATGCCCATTATTGATTATTCGCTTGGGTAATTTTGCCACTTCAGTAGATTGAAAGCATAGTCTTACAAGTGAATTTTTAAGTACCTTGCAACTATGCAAGAAGGCTAGGAGTTGTTTCCACATGCATTAAGTAGAATTTCAAGTAGGCTATTAATAGAAGCAAGATAAAATTATAGTTTTATGATAGAAATGTATGGCAGCTAACAGTTGTTTGCTTTTTAAAATTTTCCTCAGAAAGATTCATTTTAACTTTGGCCACTTGCCAAAACAAGCAGTGAATTGGAAACTTCCCAGGTGCCCTCTGATAAGCTCCAGTCAGCACTGTTTGAAATATAGCATGAGACACTGAGAATGGGACAATAAGAGTGACCTTGAAACACATAAAAAGTGATGGGAGGGGGGAAGAGAAAGCTACAAGAGCCTATATTTGGTTATAATTTGCATAGGAGGCCTTCACACCAAACATCAAGCTAGTGTAACCTACTGAAAAGCTTTTCATAAGGAATATGCCACATATGAAAATATATGTTGAGAGCCAAGAAATAACCAGTGATGTGGAGAGTTATTTCTCCTTATAATCTCGTGCTTTCCTCTCACAATCTCACCTGCCAGCTCTTCTGTGGACACCTGCCCGTGTTCCCGAGCTATGTGGAGGCTGGGCGTGCGCGGGCTGTTTGGGGGATGTGCGGACATTCAGCTGCTGTGCTGCTCTTTGTAGCCCCCTCAGCTCAGAAACCAAGGCCTTCCAACATCCAAGCTGAGACGAGCCGGCAGGGGTGGAAGCCGGGTCTAGTAGCAGCTTCTCTGCCAAGTGTGGGCAGAGAGGTGAGCCCAGCTTCTGGAGTTTGGGGAGGGAGCTCTAGTGTGCAGAAGGGAGCACTGTTGTCTCCTCCAGAGGCTCGCTGTGGAGACTCGCTAATGCAACCTGGCATTAGCCTTGGCTTTGCCTTCCAACCACATGTGTCATTAGACCTGTCACTTAATGCGGCACCCTTGATGAAGTCTTCTTATTTCCGGAGTGAAGAAGGTGAACCTGATAGCTTCTAAAAGGTCATTTTTAGTGTTAAGCTTGCTGAGGCAGTAGTGACCAGGACTAGAAAGACCCCAGTTGGGCTCTTGTGTGGGTGCAGATATACCGTACTGGTGTGGCTGTGCTCCTTTACCTTCCCGATCCTTGGTCTTTTTGTCTGTAACACGGGGATACTGATTTCTACCTGGTAGACTGGTCGTGAGGATAGGGACGGTGCAGGTAAGGGTATACATGAAGACTTGATGGTACAGATTCTAAATCTCTCTTGAACTAGGCAACTTTCCTGTTATATAAGAATAAAACAAAACAAAAATGCTAAAAATTCCATCTTTGAAACCTGGAAAGTTAATTAAAGAAGGTAGGACAAATATAGGATTTTATTAGGAAACTTGGGCTTTCAAGTTCTATTTCATTCTTAAGCATTTTCCTTTAAAAAAAAAAGTTTCTAAAACTGTAACAGCAGTTGAATTTTACAAAGGAAAGATACTTTAGGCCTTAACATTTTCAAAGAACATGTTTATCTTTAAAGTAGATAATTGATGCCCCCCCTTTCATTCTTCAGCTTTATCTTATTGCTGGTTGGTATAAGAACACTGGATTGTGTTCATTTGGCATATTTGATACAGAGTTTATGTATTTATACAGTATGTATACTATGTTGAAAATGTGACTATACTGAGATATTGCATTATGGTTTCATAATGGAACAGTTTATGATACCAAACAGTAGTCAGCGAAGGTGAGAAACAGAAGCAATGATTTTCTGAACTGGAGGTATAATGGTTTTCCAAACAAATGCAAAGCTTGATCAAGTTTGACAGTGTTTTCTTTGCTGGTCTTGTAACTCCATTATAATGGAGTTATAAATGGAAAATTTCTGTTAAAATTCCAAGGTTACTTATCACATTCCTTCCCCATCTATTGTCCATTTGGTATTTTGGGTCAATCCAAAATTCCTCTGCTTAACCCAAACGAGAGGCTGTCTAGTTTGTTTAAGCCATGCTTCTGCTTTTCCTTTTCATTTTTTCAGTAGTCCTACTTCAGGTGTTAAAACTTTAGAATTACAAGCCCAGTTGCATTATCTGTTTGAATTCTTGGTGAATTGATGCGTACAAAGATAACCAGCATATTTAATCATGGAAACTGGTCATGCCCCTCAGTGGACCCTGCTCCACTGAGAGCAGGTGGCCCAACGGCAGAAGCGTAGAGAAGGGAAAGAGCCCAGAGGGGGGAGGATGACGCCTGCTAGCAGGTGTGTGATGACTCAGCGGTGTTCACTGTAGGTAGTCTGTTCTTCCTGCTCCTCTGGAAGGTGCATTTGTACAAATCATAGTTCTAAGCATTGAGCTCAGAGCTGGCAATGCTGGGCCTTGTTAGTGAATCCTAAAGGGATTATTGGCCTTGGAGGAAGTCACCAGGCTTAGGTGGAACTCTTCTTTTTTGAATCAGAAGATGTTTTGCTTGGATTTAAAGAAGCTGAAGAATCCAATCATTGTAAATATTTATTTATACCTTTTTAAAAGATTTATTGATTTATTTGAGAGAGAGGGAGAGGGGGAGAGAGTCCTTTAAGCAGACTCCATGCTGAGCGCAGAGCCCGATGGAGGGCTCGATTTCATGACACTGAGATCATGACCTGAGCATGAAACCAAGACTCAGACACTTAACTGACTCTGCCACCCAGGTGCCTCTCATTGTAAAATATTTTAGAATACTTCATGTAGCATAGAATGTATGCTTCTGAGAGGTCTGAGATTGTAGGGATGTATAGGTGAGGACTCTTGAGCGGAGCAGAGTGATTTGACTCACAGAGTTAACTCTTTGGAAGGTTTCGTCATTCACATTGGCTGTGGTGTCTTCCACCAGACTAAAAGCTTGACTGCTCCCAAGCAGGGGAGTTTGTCTTTTTCATCTTTGTATCTTTAATGCATAACATAGTGATTAGCACATGGTAGGTGCTCAGTAACGATGTGTCAAACTGATCTAGACTGAACTGAAGGCTCCCTGGGGATTCGTGGTTTCCTAGGTGCTGGCAATGGTGAGAACTGCTTCCTCACACATGTGCCATCTGGTGCTGCTTTGGTGGGATGGCCCAGGAGCTGGAGAGCTCAGCAGACTTGTGCTAGAGACTCAGTTTAGTTTGGTGAGCTTCAGAGAAGGGTATGGGCTGAGGGGCCTTTAAAATTTAAAGTAACTCTGGCTTTCCCAGAAGCAGCCCTGTTCCCTGAGGAGGTGATACCCTGGAGAGACATCTGGGGACTAGGTCTTCCCCTTCCAAATTTTCCATCATATCTGAAACCCCCTCCTGGCTCTGCAAAAGAGTCCCTTGCCATGCTTGCTGTAACATATGGATTGCTTAGGCCAAGGGGTAGTTTACATTCTACAGTTTCCTCTTTCTCACAAGGGGAAACGGGCCCAGGACCTGTTCTTTAAGTGTGTCCAAGAAGGAAAGTGGCACTGTTTTCTTGGGAGGTACATGCGTAAGAATGGGTGATGGTATTTCAAGCCAATTGCAAAGGATACATGTTTCATTATAAAAACAGGAAGCAAAATATTTCATTTCAGTGTTTTTATCTTCAGAAACTATAAACTGAGTAACAAATAATTGCCTGTCTTATAAATTGTTGGTTTCCAAATCAACTTTTGAACTCTCTGTTTTTCAAATTAAAAACTAAAAAGTTTCTGGTTAATGCTGGTTATCTCCCCAGACTTTGCTTTCTGACATAGGCTTAGCTGTGCCTAATACAATACCCCACTAACTGACAGGGAGATTGTTAGAATAACAGCTCTGCAAGTTTATGTAGCTTATTTAACTTTTGAACCTTGCAGGTACAACGGTGCCAGCCCACAGGGCTATCCTGGTGGCCCGCTGTGAAGTGATGGCAGCCATGTTTAATGGGAACTACATGGAAGCAAAGAGTGTTCTGATTCCAGTTTACGGTGTTTCCAAAGAAACTTTCTTGTCATTCTTAGAATACCTATACACAGACTCCTGTTGCCCAGGTGAGCAGTCTGAATATCTCACAATTTATCTTCCTTGTTACTCATTTTGATGCATTGCTTTCTATGAGATTTGTTTTCGCTTAAGATTGATCGAAGTTGACATCATGGAATGTGCTGGTCAGGTGAGGTAGTATTGGGATGACAATTAATTTTCAGTCAGTTTTCACATCCCAGCTAGCCCCCAAAGTGTGGTGATTATGTGGACACCCTGGAAATGGAGGTGTTTTGTGGTACCCAGTGACTAATTTGACAGACTGGGACATCCCTTCCATAAAGAGAAGAGGTTTGAGCAGCTGCTTTTATGGCTCTAACTTGTGATTGAGGCTCTTTTAAGGACTTTGAATATTCTGAGACCCCTTGGTCATCTCTGTAGCTCAGAGAATGTGGGGTTTTTTAAAGTCTTCTTCTGACTACTCCTAAAGTTATACTGTCCTTAAACTAACTTCTCCAAAAACTTCCTGAGATGTTTAGGATGCTCAGCGGACTGTGGGATTTATTTCCCTATTCACTGACTTAGGGCTATCTTTGACTAAAAACCATCATCTTTGGAAGCTGTAAGTTGGAACAGATCTTGCAGGGTTTGTTTGTTTGTTTGTTTGTTTGTTTTCTAGCTGGGGGTCTCCTTGGAGAAATTGCTAAATCCTTTCTACCATCTTAGAGCCTTGGGACACCCGCACAGAAGCCCCTTGAATTCATCTTCATCCTCTGGCCACTAGATGGCTCCCACCGCAAACACAACGAACACACACACACACACACACACACACACACACACACACACACACCCCCCCCCCCCCCCCCCCCCCCAGAATAAATTTACTCAGTCAGGGAGCCCAAGACCTTGATTAGAGAACCTGGCAATGTGTTCTAGCAAATGCAAAAAGAAAACACACATTTCAGACCATCCCTCTCTTCAAATTTATTACTTTCACTTTTATTTTAGGAAGATTTCCAATCTTTGTCATTAAAACCTCTTAAATTTTAAACAAGTCAGGAGCCCTCTAGTGAAAGGTTTTAGAAGTTCAGAAAGAAAATTCTTTTTTTAACAGAGCTAGTTCTGGTCTTGCAGCCAGTTAGAGTTGTTATGGTCAGTGTTAAAGACTGGCTTATTATATGTGCCTAATAAAAATGAAAGCATTGAGTCTCATCAAAATGTGTGTTACTGTTTATTTTATATTTAATACTGGTGAATCTGTATGGTATGTTAAATAAAAATTTTGAGCCAGACATAAAATAATAAGAAAGTTTAGTTGCTCAGTTGTCCTCCCACTAGTGTAACTGAAGCTTCAAATTTTAGGTTTTCTCTTGCTAATTAGAAAAAAAATGCTCAGAGAAGCACTAATAACTGTAGGACAGAGCCCTTTAAAATTTGGTAAAAGGTGTGGGGAGAAAATGAGTCAAAGGGAATAATCAGAAAGAAGATCAGTATTAGAATGTTTGCACTGAGAAATTGCAGAAAGGTGATCTATTCATTGTGTTAAGGATTGATCATACAGTGTTCATGGTTCCTGGCTACAAAAAACAATGCAAGGAATTTAAGGAGGGCTTAGAAAAAGAATTGCCTTAGAAAAAGATTACAAATCACTTCTAGGCATGTTTACACACACACACACACACACACACACACACACACACACACACACACAACCTGAGCGATTACCAGGGGTTAAGAGAAGGTGGAAATGGGGAGTTATTGTTTAACGGATATAGAGTTTCAGTTTGGGAAGAAGAAAAAAGTTCTGGAGATGGAAGATGGCGATGGTTGCACCACAATGTGAGTGTGCCTTAATGCCACCGAACCGTACACTTGAAAGTGGTTAGTGATAAATTTTATGTCATGTCTGTTTTACCACAACAAAAACAACAAAAAAACCTGGGGACTAAAGGAAAATTTGCAGGGATTTGATTTAGCTGGCACAGAGTTATGTAACAGCCTCAGGACTGATTATTTAAGGGCAATCATAGAATTGCCTTCTCTGAAGACTTAAAAACAACAACAACAAAAAGAGTCACTTTAGAGTGTGAAGGCCTGAATTAATTCTTTCTAAAATGGCACGACAGGGGCACCTACTGATAGGGGCTCCCGTGGCGAAGCGCGCCACTCTGGATTTCAGGGTTGTGAGTTCGTGGCCTGACTTCACTGTCCACCTTCTTTTCTTTCCCTTCCTTGTCAGCTGGCATTTTCCAGGCTATGTGTCTTCTGATCTGTGCTGAGATGTACCAGGTGTCCAGGCTGCAGCACATCTGTGAGCTCTTCATCATCACGCAGCTGCAGAGCATGCCTAGCAGGGAGCTGGCGTCTATGAACCTGGATATCGTCGACCTGCTCAAAAAAGCCAAGGTACTCACCCCTTTGTATCTGCTTGCTGGATTTAAAAAAAAAAGATTCTGTTTCTTGAAAGAAACATCCATGTTTGTCTCAGTTTAGAAGTTTGGCCAAATGAGGTTAAAAGGCCCTCGCAGCAGTTTCTGGGACTGGATCATTTTGAAGCATCAGATGTTTGAGCACTATTTTCCAGGGTGGTAGAATTTGCTGATGGGAAATTTTTCACCTGCATGGCAGCCTGTTTTAGTCTCATCTGAGTGTGGTGCTTTATTGTGCCATATCAGCATTGTAGGAAGTAGAACTTAGGTTGAATTTCCCCAGAGCTGTCCCATCTTAGGGTTCATGAAAGAAAAATGACAGAACTGGTCCATGCATATTGACAGAGATAGTTAGGCTAAACTCATTTATGTGTTCATTCATTCATCTTTCACTTCATGGACGTGTTTTAGAGTTCCCTGTTGTTTGTAGGATGTACCAGTGTACTTCATTTATCCTTTCAAAATGCCTTTTTTTTTTTTTTAAGATTTTATTTATTTGACAGACAGAGATCACAAGGAGGCAGAGAGGCAGGGAGAGAGAGAGAGAGGAAGGGAAGCAGGCTCCCTGCTGAGCAGAGAGCCCAATGCGGGGCTCAATCCCAGGACCCGGAGACCATGACCTGAGCCAAAAGCAGAGGCTTAACCCACTGAGCCACCCAGGCGCCCCTCAAAATGCCTTTTGTTGATGGGTCTCATGTACCTTCAGTAAAAGCAGAGTTGAGAATCACTACAGTACACCACACTTTCTGACTTCTTCTAAGCTTAGGGCATTTATATTTTTAAGAATTGGATTTCTCCACATTCTAGGGAATAGAGTTTGCACAGTTAAGCAAGTTGTGAGGAACTGCAGTCACAAAGAGCCTAGAATCTGAATCTGACAAAGGACTGGGCTGATCTATAAGTAAAGTAGGTTTGCAGTCTTGAAGTCTTCTGGAGCCTGCAGATGTTGTGCCAGTCAAAAATCGGTTATTTCCTCATTCCCACTAAAGGGGGGCAGGAAGTTTATTCAAACGTGTCATCCTATCCCTGGTTATTCTACTATTCCATCCTCTGCCCTGTGACAGTTTTAGGGCTTCCGGGTGTCATGGAGTATAATGGTCTATATGAACTTGCCGTAAGCTGAAACTTCTAGGTCTTTTTTACAGGAATATATTTGATCCATCATTGGTGACTATCAGGACTTCGTAAAATGTTATCTGTCTTACAGCATTTGGCGATCCCTATCAACTTGGAGAGAAATTAGAAAAATAGGACAACTCTGTCTTCAAGTTGCTGAAATGGAGCCACATAAAGTGGCAAAGGACAGACCGCTAAAAGCTTGCCTCCACGTTGAGATGAATTCATAAATCAATAATGTGTATTTCTGGGCAAAGAAGGGAATTCATTTAAAGCCTCTAGGTCTTCTCTTACTGTCTTCTTAACTATTTTGGAGTTTGTTTCTTTCATAATCAAGTCTTAAAACCTTATATATTTAATTTTAAGGATAAAAACAAATTAAAAGAATTGAGTAACCTTCTACACAGTGTTGGAGCTTGGAGCTGGGGCCACTGGCTGGCCATTGAGCTCACAAGTGTAGGCAGTGTGCACACGAGGGCTAAGCCCTTTGCTAACACCACAAGGGCCTCTGGCCCAGCCAGGGCAGTGTGATAGTAATTCTTGCTACAAGAACAAAACAAAACCAGAAAAAAAAAAAAAAAAAAAAAACTGAGTAACCTTGATCTCTCTTTGTAATTTATTTACATTGAGCCTGGGATAAATAGCTAACTTCTAGATTTAGTTTAAAATTTCTTTTTCATTCTCTCTGGCATTTTTTACAGCCTCTGTTCATATTTGTTGTATCATTTCCATACTATTCTACCAAGTCTGTCATACTTTAAAAGAATGATCAGAAGCTTCTCTTTCCTTATCTCCTCGTGTCCTTTTAGTAGCTGCATCCAAGAACTTCCTGTCCGGTTGCACTGACGTTTCAGGTAGCACGTGTGCACACGCGTACAGGTCTCCTCACTGGTGTCATTTATGATTGCGTTGTCAGTGGTTCTTCCTGACCTGTTTTCCCTGACTCTGTGCTTTCTCATTGTGTAATTATCCTTATTTATTTCTCTTTAATTTTAAAAGTTTAAGATACCAGACCTTTTTGAATTTTACTTTTTGTTTCTGAAGACTTTTTTAATTTATAGGATTAAGCCTCCAATTACCAGTTTTTCTTTATTCTCTTCCTGGTGGTCCCCAATTTGACAATTACAAATCCAAGATAACAGGATCATTTTCGTTGCCAGTTCTCTTGGAAGTTCCTAGTTTGAGGCTTTAGTTCACTAGCCAGTTCATACTGTTGGTCAGAATTTAGGTAATTTTTCCTTCATTGTTTCTCTGACTTCTGGGAGGTGAAACTGTCTTTTAGCAGAATTAGACTTGGAGTAGTTTTTTTGAATAATCAAAATCTCCAAGGGCTCCACTGTCATCTCTGCTAGTTTTTCATTGTTTATCAGGAAAGCATCTTTCATACTTTTGATACAGTGGAGCACTTTGGTATTCTCTCACTTCTGCTTCCTCCTTTCCCTTCCCCTAATGTTTCTCAATTCCTTATCATGATTCTACCTTCAAGTTCATCTATTTCCATCAAGTTGGACTTTTATTTGGCAGAGAAAGACACAGTGAGAGAGGGAACACCAATAGGGGGAGCGGGAGAGGGAGAAGCAGGCTTCCCGCTGAGCAGGAGCCTGGTAAGGGGCTGGATCCCAGGACTCTGGGATCCTGTTCTGAGCTAATCCCAGACACTTAACTATGGAGCCACCCAGCCCCAAGTTGGACTTTGAACATGCAAGAGAAGCTTCTTTCCCTTAATCAGATTCAGTCCTTTGAACTCAGGTAGACCGCTCCTTATCTCTCCTCCCTTTTCTGTCCTAACTAGCCAAACTTTGGTGATTCCTCTGAAGTCCTGCTAACCATATTACAGTTTCAAACTCAGTATCTTACTTATAAAAACTCAATGTTTTATAATCTGTACGTTAATACTTGGCTGCTGCAGGCTACCAGTTTTCTGATCTTTTTCTTGTGAGTTTCTGGGTATTTCTTCCACTACTGTTATTCTTTACAGACCTGTTAAATGCATTGTGTTTATGGTATTTTTAAAGCCTTTCTTTTTTGTTTTGTTGTTTATTTCATTTTTTGTTTCATTTTTTTTGTATTTCATGCAAAATACATTTTGTATTACATTTTTGTATTTCATATTTTTGTTGTTTAAACCTGCTTTGTCAGGGGCACCTGGGTGCCGCAGTCAGATAAGCATCCAATTCTTGGTTTCTCCTGAGGTTGGATCTTGGAGTTATGAGATTGAGCCCCCAAGTAGCTTCGGGCTCATGCTCAGTGGGGAGTCTGCTTAGGATTCTCTCTCGCTCTTCCTCTGCTCCCCCACTCGTGCTTGTGTGTGATGGTTATGATACCTTGAATCTTGGTCAAAACTAAAATTCTGCATTTTAACCATGTTTCTGTAGCTAGCTATTCATTTCTGTGATCGACCTTTTCCTTAAAGTCACAGCCCTTAGGTGATGTCCTGAACATTTCTTTGTAGGTTATCTACTTTGGGTTAATCATCTGATCGTGCTGGTGGCTTCTGTTAAAATAGCTACACATTCTTGTTCTATCTCTTTGAGATCACTCACATTTATCGGCTTAAAGTTAGGGCGAATAAAAATTGGTAAAATGTGATGTGGGATCCAAGGAACCATAAAGTATCTTACAATTCAAAAATTTTGATTTTGTATAATGAAAAGTAGAGGAACCTGTGGATTTAACATGTGAAAATATTCCCACATTATAACTTTTTAAAAGAGCAATATGTGAGTTTCTTCTTTAAGATTTGAGATTATAAATCTTTCTTCGATTTAGCATTATTTCTTATATAAATCTTTAGAGTTTCCTTAAAAGAGGTATATTTAGCTTAAAGGTGCAGACAACCTAAATGTCCATCAACAGGTGAATGGATAAATAAAATGTGGTATATACATACAGTGGAATATTACTCAGTCTTAAAAAGGAATGATGTAATATGTGCTGCAACATGGATGGTACTTGAGGACATTATTCTAAGTATGATAAACCAGGCAGAATAAGCATACCTATTGTATAAGTCACGGTCTGTGAGGTATCTAGAATAGTCAAATTCAGAGAAAGAATACTAGAATAGTGGCTATCAGGGACTAGGGGAAGGGATAGAAGGGGAGTTATTATTTAGTGAGTGTAGAGTTTCAGTTTGGGATGATAAAAACATTCTGGAAATAGATAGTGGTGGTGATGATTGCATGATAATGTGAATGTACTTAATGCCACTGGTACCCTTAAAGAAGGTTAAAATGGTAAATTTTATATTTTGTGCATTTTAACCACAATAATAAAAAAAAGAACTGTACTCATGTATCAAATTGGCCTGCCAGCACGTTATGTAGTCTGAGTTGAGTGGTTAGATGGATCGGTGAGCATCACTGGACAACTGGCACCAAGGTGAGGATGTCATGGCCACAGTGCTCTCAATTTCCCTTCCATTAGCTATTGAAATTCAGAATGAGAAATGTGCTGGAAATCCGGCTCACCATAAGAGCATATAACTACATCCTAGTCAAAAGCATCCTCTTAACTATATCCTAGATAAAACCAACTGCTCAGACATAACCTTCTCATAGAGGTATGTATACATTGAAACCCATGCCCTTAGGTTGATGACATTTCCTTCACAAAATATATTTCAGTTTGCCCCTTGGGTGAACTTGTTTAGATATGGCCAAGGATGTACCTTCGCTAACCATAATCATATCTCTGTTACACAGCCATAAGTGCAATTAGTGACAGCCATGACCTTAGATTAAAAGCTTAAAGGAAATCCTTAAGAACCTCAAGGAGTCTCTTAACCACTGATGCAGTGTGCCTCTGTTCAAGACATTGAGATGCTCTAGCACCAGTGGCTTATTATTCATTTGATCCTGTCCCTTCCCTGATGTAATTTTATTATTACATGCAAATAATCTCCCTTTTCCTTTCTGCTCTCAGAGCAGGCAGAAGGCTGCGTCACATGCGGACACAGTCAATATGGAGTCCCGCTCTACACAAATCCTGCCAGACCGTTCTCTCCACCTATTCATCATCTGGAAGTCTGCATGGTGATTAGTACAACATTGTTTCACTTTCCATTTTTCTTGCAGTTTCACCACTCGGATTGCCTTTCAACCTGGCTGCTTCATTTCATTGCTACTAACTACCTCATCTTCAGCCAAAAGCCTGAATTTCAGGATCTTTCAGGTAGGTTCCCAATTACTCTTTTGAAAAGAAAACTTCGTTCTTTGCTCTTAGGTTTAAGAAATAGTTTGTAGGAATAGTAGTTGTTAAAAAACAAAAAGTAAAAAAAAAAAAAGTCAATGTAATACCTTCCTCTTAACTACACAGTGTGGTAAATGAGGACACTTTAACTTACAGTCACCTGGTTATAAAAATAACTTGACCTGTGTTACACAAGAAGCTTTCTAATGATTGTTTTATAGCTCCCATCCATTTTTAAGGGTGCCTTATTTTCTGAAGTAAAGTGATAAGGTAGCCTCAGGTGGAATTTGATTGTGACAAACAATATTTTGGTTTTCACTACCTAAATCAGAAGCAAAATTTTAACAGTACAGATTTAAATTTTTTTCTTATGAAGAAAATTGTAACTGCCATTTATTATTTATAATATGTAGTTTAATTGTTCTGATATGTACATTTATTTAAGCATATCTGTATAGGGATCCATTATATTCCTCGGGAATAACAGTTTTTTAATTGGTCAGAAAATGTTGCAAAACTTACTGAACAGAAAGTGTACATAATGTGATCTTTAAGGTGAATTGTGAAGATTAAAACCAATCAAAGTGTGAGCTCCTGAATGCTGCATAAGAAGAAAGAAAATGAGAGCCGAATAGTCATCAGAGTAGACGGTCAGTTTAGATAGGATGGTTTGCTCATGTTACTTAGAATAGGCTCAGGAAATAATTTTTTTAAAAATCGCCTACTTAAGTAGTTTTAAACTCTAAGCAGGGATGTCCATAGAGACACCTGAAGGTTTTCTGAGGTGGGGGCTGAGAGCAGGGAGAGGCTGAGGGAGGAGGAGGGAAGGAAGAAGAGAAGGCTGAAGTCTGTAGTTCTTAGACCCCCTGGCCCTTTAGCCTTTAGTTTTTATCTTCTGTTTTATCTGCTGTTCTCCATAAAATTTTACTTGTAAAAGATAATCTGCTGCTAAAATATTTGAAAGTCTCTGGTTTCTTTCATCTTCTTAGACAGATAAGGAAACCAGGAAACAGTCTATTTTTGGCAGATATATTCAGTTGGTTGACAAAGATCGTATGCCTATTGAGAGCCTTCTTACATAGAACTTATTAGTGCAGTAGAGAAACATAGTAAAGCAGAATAAAGATATTTACTAAACCATCTGCTCTGTGCAAGAAAGAAAGAAACTAATTCCGTTCATAAAGAGAAGGCATGCTTCTTGCCATTAGTAGGGACATTCTAATACAGTCATTTTTTAAGAAATCAATTCATAATGAAACAAGTGGACATTGCGATTTTAGAACCACCTTTGTTATGCTGCCTTAGGTTCCCTTCATTTGTAAAAGAAAAATAAGATTACTTTCCATTTACTGTCTTGTATAGATGAACGCTACACATGGAGTACTAGTACAAGCTTAGGAGAATGTACTCTGTAAATCCTTTGTGTTATAAATTTTTATTTTATTTTATTTTATTACTTACACAATTGACTATAAAGTGTGTTATGACTACCTGGCATAGTGAGAAGCTGGACTCCAGGGTGTAATTTGAGAAGGCAGGGTAACAAGATGAGACTGTATTCTTGATTGTCATCTGTTCCTTTGATGAAGACTAGAAGCGTCTTCTGAATGTTGCAGTTCAATTGGTACCTGTTTATGTTCAGGACTTGCTGTGATATGTCCTTGGGGGCAGAGAATAAAAGCCCCTGGTGGATAGGGAAGAGTTAGATAGTCTAACTGAGTGGTCACAAACTGGGAATCTGGGGTTTGAAAGGAACTGAATACAGTCTGCCAACAGGTTTTATTTGGGCTACACGGTATTACCTTTTTTTAGTGTCACCATTTAAAAATTGTAACATGGCACATCTTAAAAATCAAATTTCTGGCTTCTTTGGAAAAGTTGGAAGATCTGGCTGCCCTGGGCCCATCTTCCCACATGGAAGCAATCTGGACCTAAGCAGTAACTCAGCCCATTTACAGGAGCACGTGTCCTGCCGAAGGTCCTAGTCAGCTCTCCTCCCTGTTGTCTCACACTTGAACTGCCTCACATGGTTGCTTGAAGTTGGAAGGGTTCTTGTCACTGTTTACAGCTCCCTTCGATGATTTTCCACCTTTGGTTTCAAAAATTACCAAGTTATCATTGGAATTCTGTGAACCGTTTTCTCTTGTCTGAGAATTCTTCTTCTTTAAAGGTGTTTAGGAATTGAAAAGTGAGACTAGACAAGATGTTGTGTTAATGCTGGCATTGATAGAGCAGAACTCAGTTGAAGAGCTCATTCAGTGTTGGGTATGTTTTATATGTTGGACTCTTTGAACACAAACAGCAATGCATAGGAATATAAGTTACTCTTGGCATTTGTGGATTCAATATTCTCACAGTTTAATTTAGCTTGATATTATGTTACATATTATATATGTGGAGTTTTTTGTCTTGTTTTGGTTTTTGCTGGCCACCAGAGCTCATCTGTGATAACTTTTCTCTCTCTCTTTTTAAATTTTAACCAAGAGAGTAGTCTTATGTCACGTTTGCTTACTAATGAATCCTACAGCTAACTTCCCTGAGCTGGTAGGTCATTTCTTTTTGTCCAAGTCCTGCAGCCTGGATCATGACCTCATTAGTCCAAATTATAATATATGTGGTCACACAATAGATGGGGAAGTGGGAACTGACTTAGCAGAAGGAAAGCTAAGTACCCACAGAAGGGAATGCTGATGAGAAGCAAGCTGACTCACTCAGCAGAGTACCAAGACGTCTTAGAAATGTGAGGGACCAGGTATTTCAGAAAGCAGAATAAAGCTTGGGGCTGAAAGCAGTAGAACCGGTTGAAAGATGTGAAGAAGGGAGTGCCTGGGTGGCTCAGTCAGTTGAGCATCAGACTCTGGGGCTTGGCCTAGGTCTTGGTCTTGGTGTTGAACCCCGCGTCAGGCTGTGCGCTCAGCATGGAGTCTGCTTGAGATTCTCTCCCTCTTCCCTGGCTCGTGTGTGCTCTTTCTCTACAATAAATAAATAAAAACTTTAAAGATTATTAAAATCTTTTAAAAAAAGAAGAAGAAAGTTATGAACTATGAACTTGCTGCACTCCATCCCACTCGGGCAGGCAACTCCTTCTCTTTCATCGTTGTTGCGATGGGACATTTATTCCTGGAGAAATTAAACCAAAAGAATTCTAGAATCACAAACTCCAGGTATAGCTAAGATTAGGTGAAGGAGCTGAGCTGAAGGAACACCTGGGTGCCTTAGTCATTATGTGGCCGCCTTCGGTCAGGTCATGATCCCAGAGTCCTGGGATCAAGTCCCACATCGAGCTCCCTGCTCAGCGGGGGATCTACTGCTCCCTCTCCAGCTCCCTGGGCTTGTGTTCCCTCTCTTGCTGTCTCTCTGTCAGACAAATAAATAAAATCTTAAAAAAAAAAAAAAGCTGAACTGAAAACATGGGGATCATGCAGAAGTGTACACATTGTATAGTAAGCCGCCAACCTCCTTCCTGTATCCAGGTTCTAGAATTCCAGCACCAGGTATTGCTGCCTTGACTCCCACACTCTGAGCATGAGATTGAAGCATCTTTCTCTGGCCCTGGAGAAAAAATATGTAGGTGCAGTCATTTGGAAATCCTGTCTGTGAACCCAACAGATATCTTCTCAATTATTCCAACAGTCAGTAAGTCCTACCCATGACCACAAGATACCCAAACAGCCATCTGGTATCTCACTCTCAAACGTAAGGATATAACTGAGGATCTTCAGATATTTTAGGCAATACCTAACATGAAAGATAGATACCAAAACCAAAATAAAATTGATAAAACAGAAGAGAAAGCATTTAGAGGAACAAAAAATAGGAAAAAATCCTTTAAAAATCTTGAAGTTAATATCGTCAGTGATTAAGAGATACAATTCATAAAGCAGGAGAGAATGTTATTTAAAAAAAAAAACAATATTCACAAAGACAGTAGAATGACGGTTGCCAGGGATGGGGAAATGGGGAATTGTTAATGGGTATAGAGTTTTAGTTTTGCAAGATGAAAAGAGTTCTGGAAATTGGTTGTACCATAATGTGAATGTACATGACAATACTGAACTATATACCTAAAAATTGTTAAGATAGTAAATTTTATGTTATGTATGCTTTATCATAGTGTAGAAAACAGTACCAAAAAAAAGTTGTTCTTGGAAATTACAAATATGGTAGCAAAAAACCAAAAACAACAACAAAACAACAAAATAACAACAACAAAAAACCCTAAATAAATAGAAGAGTTTAAACAAGTACATAAAAGTTGAAAGATAAGGATGAGGACATCTTCCAAAAGTGAGACAAAAAGATTAAGAGGAGAGAAAGTTTTTTAAATAAATTTGGGGCTCAATCCAGGAGATGAAGTATCTGAGTTAAAGAAGTTAATGCAGAATAAAACAGTGAAGAGGAAAATATCAAGGAAGTAATACAAGAAATTATCCTAGTCCTAAAGGACCCGAGTCTTAAGACTGAAAGGACCTGCTAGGCACTCAGCGGTATGAGTGAACAAAGTCCATCCCTGGGACGTGCAAGAACACCCAACTATAAATAGAAAAATATGAAAGTTTTAAAAGAACAGAGATGACTAGCCAAGAGCTATAAATCTGAATGGTAGAGGAGTGTTTAATAACCTTGAAAACTAGAATGCAGAGGAATTCTGTCTTCAACATTCTGAGGAAAGTTTTCCACCTAGAATTCTGTACCAAACCAAATTATCAATCGTGTGTGAGGAGGATAAAGATGTTTCATCACACGCAGGGTCTCAAAAATACTTCAGACCTACCCTCCTTTTTTCAGGGAGCTAATAAAGGTAGTGCTTCACCAGAAGGGAAAAACAAACTGAGTGAAGGGCTTGGAGCCCGAGAGCAGAGCGATCCGACACGGAGGCAGGAAGCAGGCCTTGAAAGCCGGAGAGTGCGGGGCTGTGAGGAGAAGGGGCCAGCAGCTGCTTCAGGAGTGGTTAGCTTGCCCGGTGACTGCGGCTGGGTGGAAGATAGACTTGAGAGGGCCTTAGAGTTTGCGAGGGCAAGGTGGCTACAAAGAAAACTAAATGAAAAACAAGTCTGTTATCATCTCCAAGACAAATGAGTCGCATTTGGAAAAAGCAAAAGAATATGCGTAGTACTTGATGAAGCAGTGTATTGTTGCAAATCACGTAATAATTTAAATCCTGATGACTGATTTAACCGAAAGCATTGAGGGAAAGGTAGGGCATATATAGGCGAGCACAGATCTCCTCTATCAAATATGAAATCAGTAATAGTTAATATCTAAACTTGATCCAAAATAAAATATATGCAATTAACATTCTTTTTCTAAAAATTTTAGTGGAAGAACGCAGTTTTGTTGAAAAGCACAGATGGCCTTCGAATATGTACTTGAAGCAGCTTGCGGAATACAGGAAGTATATTCACTCCCGGAAATGTCGTTGCTTAGTAATGTAACCCGGAGCTTTTATATGCATATGCTTTTTATTATTATTATTATTATTATTATTATTATTATTACTATCATTATGAAGCAGAAGAATGGGATACCTCTGTGTTCCAGTAAAATTCTGTGACTGAAACCAATACGGGCGTTAAAAAAAAATTACCATACAGCTTAATGTGTTTGTTAGTTCTCTGAAAAAAACTACTACTGTGATCTTAAAAGGGAACAAAATAGACCACAGGCTAAAACCAAGGCTTCACTATCATAGTATGTAAAGCTGTCCTACAGCTTCTTTTTCCCTTTAAGATGCCCTGTTGCTTTAGTAATATTAATACCCCTCCCAGTTAAGTAATGTTTAAACTTAAAAACAAAATCATGTAGTATTAATTAAAAATGTTCACTATGTCTGATAAATTGCTCTATTAAAATAAGGGGCATTTTAAAGACCAAGTATGACTATTTCAATAACAAAAAATCTAGGGTAAAGCTGATCAATCTGAAATCTTAGAAATAGAAATTTGCATGGGATTTTGAAAGTGAAACGCCACATGGTTTCAAATCAGTGACAGTATTCAAACCATCATGAAAAAAAATTTTTTTTTTTTAATGTGGACTACCGAACTGAGCCACCTTGTCTCTTCTGTGGGATTCTGATTGGGCAGGAAACCTAAACAGGGCTGGCTTTAAGGCTGTGTAACTTGTGTTGTCACACAGGGCCCCGTGCTTGGTTCAAGGCTCTGCTCTTGCCATTTTGAAATTCTTAATAATGTTTAAAGAAAGGCCCTGCATTTTCACCTTATACTGGGCTCCCCAAATTATGTGTGTCTCCTAGCAGGATATGTACTATATTTTCTTGCTAACCACCATTCTCACTGAAAGCAAAAAAGAGGCACTGACATGGAGGGAACAGAAGGAGGCTTGCTGGAGGGAAGAGATCACGAGGGGTTTCCCAACCTTGAGGACCTCTTGAGGGAGTGGAGGGTTACGAGGGGGGATTCTCTGCTGCCACCTCAGCAGGCAAGGGAGACATGCCTTGTGTTTACTCAGCTTTAAAACACTCACAGTTCTAGCTCTATCACAGTGGAAGAAATGCTTTCTTGCTCATTCTAAAACCCGGATGTTGGTAAAAGCGACTGACCAGTGTGAATTTAAAACGCATTTATAAAGATGCTCCTAGGAAGAGTTGCCTTCTAGAGAAATTGTAATCAGTGGCTTAAGAGTTTTTTGTTTCGTGTACTTACTAAGCTTAGGAGACCGGCGGCTTGAATTGTTTGAATTCTTTCTGAGGACCGCAAAGTTATTTAATGAGGAGTAGCAGGAATCTTGTCGTTCAAGATAACCCAGTAAGTTAAGAGAAAGGTTATAAATCAAAGACTCAGTACATAGAGAGAAAATGGTACTAGGATAGAATTATAGTTTCTCTTGTATCACATGTCAACAGAAATAATTACATTGGAAGCTTGTAAGCCGAGAGATGGAAAACCAGATTACTGTAATTCAGTACTGGGATATATTTTTCTTCTAATTTCTAATGACTTTCAAGAACACCGAATTTTCCCAGCTATTCAAAGGTTTGATTAAATAGTTTTATATCACAGTATTAAACATACTGCTATACAGTTAGTCCTTGAATGTATGTCAACACTGTTAGAGTACAACAGTAAAAACACCCCATATATATCTTCCAAGAACCCTGACTTTAATTAGATTGTATTGCTGCAGGTTACCGGAATGCATTTTATGTTTTTTGTATTTTAACCACTTGAGTTAATCAACTCTTGGCAAATCCCATTTGATAAGGATAAACATTGTAAAGAATAAATACTGTAGTAGATTTCTAGAAATTCATCACATTTGAGATCTTTTAAAACACAGTGATAGCCTTATGTTCTTCTTAAGGTAGTCTTTCCCCTATGTGAATTACAGCACTTAAAATTCTAAATCAGTAACTTTTGAGCTAGGAAATTGAAAAACATTAAGTTCTAAGGCAAAATAAAGTATTTGCTTGAAAATACTATTTCACATTTACATAGACCATAGATACTTTTGAGGTTGTTTGACCGGAGTGGAAGTTGAATTTGAAAGCTGGGGCTCCGTGGAGGTTGAGCATGTAGATTTTATTATGAAAAGTCCTTTACAACCTGTGTGAGTGACTCCACCACCCTGATGCCGTGGCTTTTTAGAGCTAGTCAGAACAGTAATCAAATTAGTTTTTAAACCTAGACTCTTCAGTACCTTTGAATTAACTCAATTTAAAATAACAAGAAATTTAGAAATACTTACAAACTCTCTCAGAGAAATGAGTGCTCTTTTTGAGTTTTTTTTTTAATTGAAAGATTATTTCTAGATGAATGTATGCTTTGTGTTCATCTCTGCTTCAATATATTTACCAAACATTTTAATTAGAGAAGATACTGTGTGATAGAATTAAGGCCTCTTCTTTCTGGGCCAGGTTTTCACCTTATATAACCCTTTGTATACTTCTGACTGCTCTCTGTTCCTATTATAAGAGAGTAGGCTTATAAAATAGAAGTTTCAGTAATGTAAGTGAAATTCACCCTGTCCAGAAAGCCTGGCAGCTTCACACTGGGCAGTGGCGGAAAACCAAACAGTTGGATAAATGGAACTTCCAAGACAGCTAAACTTTTCAATTCCAATTTTAAAAACTACACTACATTGACATACTTAATTAGAAAAACAAAATTTCCTCAAGAGTACTTTATTTTATTTAAAGCATCTGTTTAATTCAGTCTTTAATAATTTTGCTAAGAAGGGTATGTGTGTATTTTAATATAGCCTGACCTGAATTTATATGTTTTTAGTTTTAGTATTTAACATTTTGTAACAAATAAACCGTTTTTAAAACAAGCTTAACACAGTGTCCTGCAATTATTTTACCTCGGATGTTGAAATGTTGGAATAAATTTGGGAATACTGCCTGTGTTTCTCAAGCATAATTATGTTTCACAGATAATTTCCATTACACATAAGGTATATAGAGTATTGCTGATGTTGTAGATGCCTGAGATCAGATAAAGACATTTATATTACCTTTACCAGCTGGTACCAGAATTTCTCTTCACAAAATAACTGTCTTTATTTAGAAAAATACTTCGATAATTGTTTAGCATAGAAGTGAGCCCTGTGGGCTCGAATGTTGCCAGAGCCAAGACTTCTGAGAAGTAGAGAAGCTGTTCTGCATAATAAAGGGTTAAGAAGTTGGAAGTTTCCAACAAAATGAAAAGGCAAGCTACTGAAGGGGAGAAAATAAAAATCATTTAACTTATAATGAGTTAATACCAAAATTTGTAAAGAACTGATACATCTCAGCAGCAACAAAAGAAAATAAAACATGGACAGAGAATCTGAACAGAGATTTTTTTTTTCCAAAGAAGACATAGACATGGTCAACAGGCCCATGAAAAGATGCTCAGCTGACAAACGCAGGTCAGAACCTCGATGAAGTATCACCTCGTACCTGTTAGAATGGCTGTTATCAAAAGATGAGATAACAGATGTTGGCAAGGGTGTGGAAAAAAGGGAACCCTCATGCGGTGCTGGTGGAAATGTAGATTGGTGCAGCCACTATGGAAAACAGTGGAGATGTTCCTCAAAAAATTAAAAATGAGACTACCATATGATCTAGCAATTCCACATTTGGGTATTTATCTGAAAAAAAAAGAAAAAAAAACTAACTTGAAAAGCTCTCCGCACCTCCATGTTTATTGCAGCAGTATTTACAATAGCCGAGACATGGAAACAACCTAAGTCTCAATTAATGGGTGAAGGGATAAGGCAAATGCGGTGTATATATACAATGGAATATTATTCGGGTATAAAAAAGTATGAAATCTGGCCTTTTGTGACATGAATGGATCTTGAGAGCATTACATTAAGTGAAATAAGTCAGACTGAGGAGGACAAATACCATGGGATCTCACTTATATGTGGAATCTCAAAACAACAGCAACAACAAGAACCACCAAGCTCATAGATACAGAGGACAGATGGGTGTTTTGCCAGAGGCAGAGTTTGGGGGTTGGGGATGGGTGAAATGGGTAAAGAGAGGTCAAAAGGTATAACCTCCTAGTTATAAGATGTCATCATTGGGTGTAATATACAGTATGGTGACTAGTTAATCCTGTATTGTCTCTTTGAAAGTTGCTAAGAGAATAGATCTCAAAATACTCCACAAGAAAAAAATCCATGACTGTGGAGTTACGGATGGTAACTAGAATGTGGTGAACATTTTGCAGTATCTACAGATATTGAATCATTATTTATACACCTGAACCTTCCAGGGCAGAAGAGGCCAGATAGAAGAGAGAGAAAGACAAGGCAGTCATAATATGAAAATGCGGTATGCACTATGTAACACAGTCCCTCCCCCAGGTTACCCAGTTGCTAGTAAATTCTACTAAATTCATAAAGGCCTCCACAGTTCCCCTGGAATTACGTTGCAGACACATATCTGACACACTCTTGTAGAGGACCCCGATTACCTGTAGAAGAACCTCCACAGTCCTCGCTGCCATCACAGCCTTTCTCCTAAGTAGCCCTGTCTGTTCTGCCTTGACACGCGCGGCATTGACGGTGTACTTGCACACTTCACAGTCTTCCTGTGCCTTGGGTTGGCTTGCCATTCCCTGTCTACTTTGCAGACTCCTGCATGTCCTGTAAAAACCCCACTTCAACATGTCTCTTTTGCTCTCTAGGGCTGAAGAATTGCTTCTGCGTGTGAATAAGAATTGCTTCCACACGTGTCTTTCCTTAGCTCTTTATTCACACCTTTCTTACGGCACTAGTGCATTTTAGGTATTTCTGTATCAGTGGATTCTATTTAGCTGTAACTTGAGGGCAGGGACCATGTCTTGGTTTACCTTCATGGTCCCTTCATAACCCTTCAAAAGCACGGGACTGACATAGACTGTGTATCATAAATGGCACTAAAAAGGCTAGATGGCTTCTGTTGGAACGGTAATGTAAAACTTGTAAATGCAAGTGAGTAGTATGCTCACACTTGAGGCTTTGTTTACCCTGTGTCAGGAGTCACCACAGTCAGCTGGCATGTGGGACCTGGAGTGATCATGGTGGTTGGCTCTCTGGGGAACTGGTGAACAGGATGGAAGAGTGAGAATTCTGGACTGTTGACGTGGGTGCAGAGCATGTACCAATTGATCCCTGGAGACACCTGCCTGGGAGTTGCCAAAGAAAGTCAGCAGAAAGTTGAGCTGGGGGAACAGAAGAGTTTCAGTGGTGAATAAAGAAGGGGGGGCAGCTCCCAGTGCTACACTCTTGGAAGAGTTTAAACAGGAAATGTGAGTCCTTCAGATTTCGCTACTGTCTCACAATATACATTTTTTTCCTGAAAATTGTCTACCTCTTTGTTGTCTTCTCTGATTTTTTAAAAGAATGTTCGGCTGCTGTAAGAATTGGAAGCAATTTTGGAGCATAATCATATATGATCTTTTTAAAACGGAAAGTCCTAGAAGGTCAAAGTTTGGTTAAACCGGTTTTGTGGGTCCCAGGAATTCTTCCCATAGGTGGCAGGGAGTTACTGAGTAACGACTGTCCCCCTAACACAGGCTTGCTTCAAAGTTCTGAGTGCTTCTCCCTTCCTCCTCCTGAATGGAAGTCTTGCTTTTGCCTTTACTTTAATAAGTTTAAAGCCGAAGAAAAATAACTACAGTTTCGTGTTTCAGTTTTCATAAAATTTATGTAGGCCATTTTTAATTTCCTAGAAATCTCTTGTCTAATAATCTCCCCATGCGTCACCGTGGTAACTGGACACATCATTGTTCTTGGGTCTTATGTCTCCTTGGTTGAAAGAAGAGTAGGGTTGGTTTTCTAAATTCCTCTGAGGAATGAAGTGCCTCAGAGTAAACAAGGACATTTTGGTGTAGAGTTAACTACAGACCAAACTGCCTGAGAGGCCACAGATAAAACCCCTGGTAATGAGTAGGAAGGCAGATTAGAATAGCAGTGCCCAGGTGAGGTTCCAATGATTTCCTTGAATAGATGGAAAACAAAAGTTAAGGTATTTCCTTGGCAAGAATCCAAATGTAAAGCAGATCATTTAGATGAAGTAAATTGGAATTTATAGTAAAGAATTGCCTGGATAGTTCCCTAAGCTGCACACCACTACCAGTAAGAAAACTTTGCCTTTTTTTAACACTTACTCCTTTTAATGACTATGTTAAGAAAGGCTGGTCTTGTATGGGATCTTAGTATTAATAAGGACCAGGGGTTCCAGAACTGCTATAAGGTACCATGATGGACATAACTGATTGCCTGAGTGTTTTATGTCTTTTGTGTGTGTGTGTGATTTTATGTCTTTTAGCACCATTCCATAAGCATTAACAGTTGCTTAAGAAACATATGTTGAGTATAAGTGGACACAGTTGATGGAGAGCCCAGCAGACATACTGGGTGCAAGTCAACTGTGTTGACTCTTATGGCCCAGGTGTCCCCTTTCTGCTTAGGGAC